AGGCCATGATGATTGTGTAAGCTCTAATTAGAAATACTGCATTGGGCTTTGTAGACAGTGTACATTATGACTGGCAATGATGTCACGGTTGGCATTGCAGTTCATGGTTGGCACTGTAGGTCATGGTTGGCACTGTAGGTCATGGTTGGCACTGCAGGTCATGGTTGGCACTGCAGGTCATGGTTGGCATTATAAGAGCTGCACGACCGGTAATCTCATATACCCTCTCAAGTACGTTAATATATCTTGCGTTGACGTGCAAATTACCTACCAATGAACATATGTTTTATGAATGTAGGGATTGTTTTTTTTTTTTTATTATTATTATTAGCTAACGGTAAGGGCTTAGTTTAGTACTAGTGAATATCCCCAAAGAACATATTGTAAAAGTAATTTAAACATAGACATATATGAAAGGGAGTGTTGGTGTACAGTGTCTCCTTTCTGCTTCGTGTACTGTTGAGATGTGTCTGGTTAACAAAATGGCTGACCAATTTTCATATCTTATATTAAATGCCTGACCCAAAACAGTTTATCACTACGAAATTATTTTGTACATGTTAATATCTAGAAGTTGCTTAAGATACCCTGCCTTCTAAGGTGTTCCTGGGTATAGAAAATTGTCTCGGATTTTCTACAAAAAGAGTAGCGGGATTATTAAAGTCATTTAGTGTGGTCTAATTCTTCCAGTCGATGTCGCCATGGTTGAAGGGACAAGTACAGATACTCGCTCACCGTGTTGGAGTGCCATTCGAGAAGTAACAGGTTGGAGTAGGACCTCTTTGACCTTGGAGGTGGACCTTGTAGTGGGAGAATTATGACCTTGGAGGTGTAGGTGGACCCTGTAGTGGGGTAATTATGATCTTGGAGGTGGAGGAGGATCTTGTAGTGGGATAATTATAATCTTGGAGGTGGAGGAGGATCTTGTAGTGGGATAATGGACGAGTTGACGGTTCTGGGCAAACACAAGAAATATACTCTGCCACGTTCGTAGAGTGATACGGTATATATAATTTGTAATAAAAGTTAAGAGTCCTGTTATAGTAGTCCAGATAACTTTATTTCTCTGGAAACAGGACCGCCATTTGCAATGACGTCACTAGTTTCAAACACCGCTGGGCTGCAGCCGTAGGTAGTAGAAAGGATGGCCTCTTCAGACCCCAAATTCCACGTCCAGGTAAATTTTAAGGGTGCTTATTTTTATGGTAAAGTCATTGACATTTCGTAAGTGAAAAAATGTGCTGTGAAGAGCAGCTTCAAACATAGGTTGGATGGATATATGAGCGATAAGGGTTAGGTGTAAATGGGACTGCCCAGTATCGCCCGCTGCAGTGTCCTCCATTCGTATGGTCTTTTGGACATAAAAAACTCCCATGTTCACACCAGCTCAGCTGTCATGTACTCTTACCTGGTAGACTTTCTCTTTTTCTTTTCAGTGCATTTACAGAGTATATCAGTATTAGATGGAGATACGAGTAAATTTAGAAGTGATGACATTGTCTGGACTTTGTTTTGATAATGCCTGATGACATTTACTTTTATCTTCTTCACCACTGATCAGCTCGTTAGCCGCTTGGGCGATCGGTCACTCTGGGCATGCATCGGCTCCTGAATGTACCTGAACCCGCTCCAGTGTTGGTCAAGTCTTGTCTTGAAAGAGCTCACACTCGGTGCCGTCACAACTTTTTCTGGTAGATCGTTCCAAGAGTTCACAACTCTCACTCCGAAAAAGTTTGCCCTCACAGTTTTCTGGACTTGCAGCTTCTTCAATCTTGAGCTGTGACCCCTTGTGGGGCGAGCGTCCGCCAGCTCCAAGTAAGGACACTCGACTGAGTAGTGCCCCTTGAGATGCTTATACACCTCAATTAGGTCACCCCTTGCCTGTCTGTAGTATAAGCTAGGCAAGTTCAGGCGCTCCAATCTCTCAGGGTAGCTGAGGTGACGAAGTGCAGGCACCAGTCTTGGTGGCCCTCCTTTGAACATTTTCAACCAACTGACAGTCCCTAGCATATCTCGGGGACCAGACGGGGTGACAGTACTCCAGATGGGGAAGCACTTCACTCTTGAAGATCGTTACGAGGGACGGACCGTCTAGATATCTGAACGACCTTCTTATAAGACCCAATAATTTATTTGCCTGATTTACCTTATTCTCGCAATGGCCCGAGACCTTCAGCTCATTGTCAACATACACACCTAGGTCTTTCTCACATTCAGTCTCAAATAGTGCAGTTTCTTCATCCCGTTTGGACATATGATACGCCTCCTTACCGTTGGTACGCCCCAGGGGCATCCTCTTACACTTCGTTACATTAGGTCCCCGGTGATAGGCAGTATATTGATTGCATTTCAGAAGACCTATTTACTTTCCATAAATGCAAGACTGACAACAATTTCAATACTCTCATCGGATTCTCTGAGGTTCACAGATCAAAAAGATGCGACTTCAGTTTTGAATTGCTAACTCGTAAGTTCACGATAAACATGCTGATTACAGCTGGCGATTGTCCTCAAACCACATCGCCTTAACATTATGTAATCTACATATAAAGATATATGATGCTTTCAACATATACTCAATACACCTTGAATGCTCTATCTCACTGTAGGTATATCTGACTTATGGCTACTCATACACGTTATCTCTTAAATTTAAATTTACTTTGTGAGAGACATTTTAGGATGTTTAAGAGAAAGTGGACGGCACCTGTCGCTAGAGAAAACACGTCACTCGCTCGGGGTAACTCATCAGTTTCACACATGTTTTGTGGACGGTGGAGCGTAATATGGATAAAAGTGTTGAACAACTAGCTGTGCTATTGTGACCATGACATTGCCTCCCACATATTTTTCATAATGTCACACGAGGTAACTGCGCCAATCAAAAGGTAACTTTCCAATAAATAAAGGAGCCAATGTCAGGAAGTGTACGATAATTTTGATAAAGAAACAATAATTTTGAGGATCCAGCACGAAAATTCACACCTGAAACTAGCAACACGATGCAGTCTTCTTCCCAATGGAAGACATGTAGCTCAAAAAATCTGTCGGGTTCAGCTCCATCGAAAATTAGTGGTCTTATGAGCTAGAAACACCGCTATTTTACGAACACGGAAGTATCGTACCACATTGTGAAAAATGCCAGCCAATCTATTGGTGAATTTTTGTGAAGAAACGTTTAAGATAATTTGGTAAATTTGGGTGCCTTAAATGCAAATTGTGATAATCCATTTAAATTAGGGCTAGAATTTCACTTGTTGCCACTATACGAAATCGAAGTTGAAACTATGTTTTTCCGGTGATTTTTTATGTGTTATGAACGAATTTGACCTTCATTCCTGGTGCAAATCAATAGTTTCTGAGATTAGCCCCCCTTCCCCCCCCCCCCTCCTATCTCAAAATCTAAAGAGTCCCTGTGAGACTTTGTGAGTCCACATGAGTCCACCGCATCATAACAAACGAGGAGGTATGGTGGCCAAACTGGAACACCTTACCCAAGTTAGCACCAGTCACCATATAGTGTTGTCATTCAGATTTAAATGTTACCTAGTTCAAGATAAGGCCAGGCCAAGGTGCATATATTACAAGGGAAATTATAACTGGATGAGGGAAGAGATGAGGGGTATCCACTGGCCTGACTCATTAAGACACAAGAACGCAGACACTACGCTGAATATCATAACTAGTAAAATGACCCATTTGATCGATAAATATATACCCAAGACCAAACCCAATGCCTCTAGGAATACGAGGGGATCCCTACACATGAACTACGCGGCGGTCGACAAAGTTAAGAAGAAAACTCAGAAATGCAAGACGTGGGTTGGGTCAAACGATGAACAAGACAGGAGGATGTATGCAAAAGCCAGAAACCAAGCAAAGGCAGAGTGTAGAAGGGCTGAAAAGGAGATCCAGAGGCTGGTTGCAAGCGAGGTCAAGTCAAACCCAAAGGCGTTTTACCGCGATGCAAAGTAGGAGTATCAGACATGAGGCTTGAAGATGGTAGTTACGCAGATTCTGACCAGGATAAAGCTGAGGCATTAAACAGCTTCTTTTCCTTGGTGTTTACAAGAGAGGATGCGATTAACCTTCCTGAGTTTGAGGACAGACGGTTCGACACAGCACTTACCCACATTGTGTTCACAGAAGAGAGTATTAGATAAAAACTATCAAAGCTAAAGGTCCATAAGAGTCCCGGCCCTGACATGGTGCATCTCAGAGTACTAAGAGAGTTGTGCAACGAGCTTGCCGAACCCCTGAAGATCCTGTTCTGTAAATGCCTGGATGAACAAAAGGTCCCCAGTGATTGGAAAATGGCTTATGTGAGTACTATCTTTAAGAAGGGCGATTGTCACTCCACGAACAACTATAGACCGGTGAGCCTGACCAGCATAATATGTAAAGTACTTGAGAGTATTATTAGAGATGCCGCGATGGAACATCCACTACGAAACAACCTTGTAAAGGATTGCCAACACGGTTTTATGCCGGGGCGCTCCTGCTTAACACAATTGTTCAAGGTATTGGATATTTGGACCCAGAGACAACGGGTGTAAAAAGACCTGCCTTGTTTCTCGGTAAACGGAAATAAAGTCACAGGAAGAAATGTAACATGACTTATACACATTGACAACACAACACAATATATATATATATATATATATATATATATATATATATATATATATATATATATATATATATGTAAGTAGGTATATAAAATATATATAAATATATATATATATATATAGTTATAGTGAGAGTATGGCGGCGGTATATATATATATATATATATATATATATATATATATACACCAGATATATATGTTAAATAATATAGTTATCCCGCCAAAACGGCATCTATTGTTTTCTATGAATACTGCCTTAGTGGTTTAGTTACGTTGGTCACCGCTAGATGGTGCAGCGAACGGCAGCACTGGAAAATACACGCTAGTTAAAGGGAGTTGAGCCTCCTTACTTTACCTTCCTTGTACACAAGACAACATTGTGGTTGCAGGGTGAAGTCGTGGGATGGCTTGGGTCCAGTGAACTCATCTTAATGAAGGAGTCAAAAGAAGTACAGCCTAGAAAAAATAATCCTGTTAATAAGGTGAGCATGCCAACATATTTAACTTGTAACGATCTTAGAGAGTGAGGCATTTACCTGTCTGGAGTACTGACCACCTCATCTGATCCTCAAGGTGTGCTAGACTCGGTTAATTGAAAATTCCAAAGGAGGGCCACCAGACTGGTGCCTACACTAGGGCACCTCAGTTATCCAGAGAGATTAGAACGCCTGTAACTGCCTAGCTTATGTTATAGACGGGCGAGGGAAGACCTAATTGAAGTTTATGAACATCTCAGGAGGCACTAATTAGTGTGTCCATACCTTGCTGTCCTCAGTGTTTGGTACGAGAATGTTTTTTTTTTTTTGTGTATGTGTTTTACTCGAATCTGGGTTAATTTTTACTTTGGGACATGAGTCCCTAGGGGTTGACCAATATATTTTTCCAGTGTATTTTGGTGTGTTTTAAACGAATCTGACCTTCATTGTTGACGGAAATTGCTGGTTTTTGCCCCCAAAAGAAAATAATAATGGGGAGAGACTGGGAAATCGGGGTTTTTGAGCGGTGGAGAAAACGAAAAGGAGTCATCTAACCTAACCCCTAGCCCGGACCCCTGGTAAGCCTAGCTTAAACTAACCTAAATGTTTCAGTAGTTTAAAACTTTGGGGCGCTCCATGTCCAAAAGTACAATACCTTAGAAGTGGAAGGACCAGGGATACGTAAGAATTGGATAGAATGATCTTCTTTCTCGTAAAACTCTGCAATAAACTTAAAATAATCGTAGGAGCACAAATGACAACCAACCTCCACCGCGGCCATTGTAAGACTGGTCAATTAAATTAAAATTGTACCCAGGCTGCTTCCTTTGAAAAAAATCAAATGTGATTGGTCTAAAAAAATTTGCGTCATGATATCGATACATTATTGGTCACGACTGGATGACGTCGGTCAATATTGTGCATGCACGATGCGCCGATAATATTTCTTCACAGAGACAAAGACTGAAAACTACGTAAAATCAATTACATGGTAAATTCAAATGTGTCTCTAATATCCTTTTCTGCCTGGTATAAATGGGGTTCAAAATGCTCAGAATAGGGAGATCTAAATGTTTCAGTAGCTTATAACTTTCGGGCAAGCTATGTCCTAAAATAAAAAATACCTGAATCTGACCTTCATTACTTGTGCAAATTAGTGGTTTTTGTAAAAAAAAAATTAAATAAATAAATAAATAAATAAATAAATAAATAAAAATTTTGTTATTGCAGTTTCATACAATACTCAGCCGACTGTTTTAACCATCCCCAACCCTTAGATCTCCTTATTTGGAGTATTTCTAGCCCCATATCAACCAGGGGGGGCAAAGAATAATGTCAGAAATGAACTTAAAATTTGTTTATACTTTTATTTTGGGTGTGGGGGGAGGGGTAACTCTAGAACTGGTACTTTCCCCCCAGAAATATAGGATTTTTGGGGGGGGAGGGTGGGGTGGTATGACCATGATGAGAGAAGTGTTTTCCCTCACCCCTCAGCTCTTTTTTTTTCTCTCTCTCTCCAAGACCCACTTACATCCCTGAGTCATCACTTTAAGATTTTGTATTTGGTGTACATTACGTAACTTTACTACATTAAGACTTCTTTTAATAATATTTATCTTCACAACAGATATTTTCACTTAAATATCATTAAAGAAGGTTGAAGAGGAAACGTGATTTTGTTTCAAAAACCATATACCTGTACGGTAATCTAGTTTAAATCCAATTCTGTTTCATTATGAGTATTGTAATGTTTTTAACTTTTTTTCCACAGGACATTCATAGTCATGCAGAGAAGACAGAAAAAACAGATGAATAAGCCAGGATTAATAATGCAAACCAGTGACATCAATGGTAAGAGTCAATAATTTTTTCTATAATTTATGCTTTATATACGTTAATGCTGTAGTTTCAAAATATTATAAAAAAATATATACATTATTAAAATCACAAAGTGTATCAAAACTGTCATGACAGTCAGTGTAAACTAAGATGGTTGAAAACCAAAGTTAGGTTAGGTATGGGTGCCTAGGTTTTAAACACAAATATGAGAGTTAACCTTTATGTTATATATAATCAGAAGTGGGAAATTCCACCTGTTACGACCCTAGGGTAGATCGTTACATAAACACAAATCACTTAAGCCTTTCAAATATACCAGTATTTATTAATGTTATTAATCCCAAGTTCTCCCAACAAAGGTCTAGTTAACAGGTCAAAACTTAAACAAGTCAATAAAAATATGAACATTTATTAACTTATTCCCACCACCACATATGTACATAAAATAAAATAAATAACAATAATAATACAACAAGTGGCTAAGTAAGGTACTGAAGTTCCATCAAGATCACACAAAATCAGTGCCTCATCTGAGGCATTTGTGGTATAATACAGTAGGTTAGGTTGGTGACCGTCATGAGGTTTTCTGAGAAATTTTACTTACAATAATGACATTAGAAATGCTAAGAAACAAATATTTTTAACCCATCTAGCAATGTGTAAAATGTACCATATACAGTATCTAGTAATACTATACAACATAAGAGATATTTGATGAATGTTTTAGCAGTGTACAGTACATGATAATGTTTTGTTACTTCCATTTACCAACAAAATTGGTTGCTCGAAGTGGGCAGGGCTTTGGAGAAGAGGGAGAATATGGGGTAAAATACCATAAAGAACACCAAAGAAACCTTTAAAAACTTTACCTATTTTATAAAAATTCTGAAACTTACTGACTTCCCTTATTCTTGTTTTCGGTGTTTCCTGTGTTGTTGTAATTTTCAGTGTTCAGAGAAGGAGGAATGTCGAGGTGATCACAAGTGCACCCTGCGAGGTCTAATTTTGTTATGACATGATTGGCTTACGTCTCCTACTCAGTTATGTATCAGTCGCAGTGATTGGCCAAGACGAAACATACCACTGCCACCTGTCTGCATTTTAAGAACTAATGCCAGAGCTCGTATGACCACCACAACTAAGTTATGAACCGTTAGCATAGCGTTCTTACGGTAGTTCGTATGGACTTCGGATCTCCCGGCATTTACGATCTTCGTATCTCAGCAGTGTTAGTGAATCTGGGCCCAGTACAGTATTGCACAATACAAATTATACATGAAAACAACAGCTGTAGAGGGAACAACATTGTACAATGGCTGCAGAATATGAACTAAGCCTGCAAGTTACGCAAACAACTATTGGAGACATTTTCTCCTACTTTTTCCAGTAAATGCACAGGTTTTCAGCCTTGGAAATCGTTCCCAAGCCCAGAACAGAGAGGTTTGGAGTCGATTGTTTTTTTCGGATAATTCGCCTGATTTTCACCCTCAAACTCGTTCCCATGCCCGCATTGGAGAGAGTTTTCCCAGATTTTTCCTGCTCAATTTCAATTCTGGTTACTGGAGAGTTACAGGGACAGGGGATCCTTGCTAATGGGAAGAATACTGTACAGTGACCTCTCGGTTAACGAACTCAATCCGTTCCAGAAGGTCGTTCGTTAACCAAAAAGTTCGTTAACCGAAACCATTGTTTCAATGGGTTTTTGGGTAATTGGTTCCAGCTCACCGAAAATTTCCTAAATTCAACAAAAATGGTAGAAAAGTTCACTTACTTTGAGGTGTGTATGTAGAAGGCTCCTGGATGATGATGATGGGATTTAGAATGGGGGTGGAGGAGAAGGAAGAAGAGAAGGCATTGGGGTGGAAGAGAAGTCACCCCCATGGCGCCATTTCACCCATAAAATTTTAGTTCTCTTGGTGTAATTCAAGATTATTTTCTTTAAATCAACACTGCACTGCATTATATATTGTCAATATGTATAATATATTTCAAAATGACCAATAATTTGCTTGGAAACACAGAAAAAAAGCGTTTAGTTGAAGAGAGTCTCACGCAAGATGTTACCTCCAGTGAAAACAGAGAGAGACTAACGCCTGTTTGCTGTTTTAAGAGGCTGGATGCCGCGCATTAAACTAGTCACTTAACCTTCAATTATATCCAATAATTGTTAAAATGACTAAAATATTGAATATTAAACTTTTAAAATAATTGAATAGTATAAACTTCTTGGTATTTACTAAAATAGTAAGGAATTTAAGCCCTAGAACCGATTAATGTATTGGCGGACTGATACTAAAGCTGGTTGCCCGGTCAGTGCAAACGAAAACATGTTGAGGTCGGTTCGTAAGAAATTCGTTAACCGAATTTTTGTTCGTTAACCGAATTGAAGATCCTTATGGAAGGCAGTTCATTAACCGAAATTTCGTTAACCGAGGCGTTCGTTAAACGAGGGGTCACTGTACTGGTGTTTTATTTGACTAATGCCAGATGCTTTTGTTCACCACAGAGACGGCACCCCCCCCACCCATCCTATACACACGCACAAGCACACACAGGTTGCTAATAAACTCCAGTGACCCATTCACTGTGGGGACTCCAATTTTAACATTTGATTTGGCAAATGCCAGGTTGAGTTTTTTATATATATATATATATATATATATATATATATATATATATATATAGTTATTATTATTGTTATATATATATATATATATATGTATATATATATATATATATATATATATATATATATATATGCTATTATGCTATATATATATATATATATGTTATATATATATGTTGAGTTATTAGTTATTATTGTTAATATATTATTACATATATACATATATATATTATTATATATATATATATATATATGTTATTATTATTATTGTTGTTGTTGTTATTATTATTACATTGTTGCTGTTGTTGTTATTATTACAGTTATTTATATATATATATATATATATATATATATATATATATATATATATATGTTGGTATATATATGGCAGTGTTGTTGTTAGTATATATGTATATATATATATATATATGGTATATATATATATATATGTTAAGTTATGTTACATACAAGTGTTACATAAGTTGTTGTTAAGGCAGGCATGTTGTTGTGTTGTTACAAGGCTAAGTTACAAGGTTATTACATAAGCAGCATACAGTTAAGAAGCACATGTTGGCTATTGTTGGCTAGCTGGCTAGCTGTTAGCTAAGGCTGGCATATTACATGTTGGCTATTGTTGGCTGCATCAGTCCACCCCATCACACACCAATTAACCCACATCAGCCTAAAATGCACAATAATAATAATAATAATAATAATAATAATAATAATAATAATAAATAATAGTCATAATAATTCATAATAAATAAATTTTATGATAAAACAAACAAAAATTAAATAATAAAATAGTGATGATAATAATACAGTAACTGTAATAATAATAATATTAATAATAAAGAACTATAAATACAAAAATGCAAAAAAAGATCAAAAGTGAGAAACGATATATGTATGTTGTGTTGTCAATGGTAAGAGAAACAATTGCAACTCTCAATTGCGTGTAAATGAAGCAGAAAGTCAGATCAGCAACCTGGGACTTGGTCACAATTTTCTTGATGCCATATGGCAGCAGGGTCTACCATTAGACAATACATTATGCTTCCAATATCTTCCCAGGCAGTAGTACCTCCCTGTTTGGTAGCTCAGAGAGACCTCCATACACAATAAGTTAAAAATGGCATCTTAGGAGTTATTTTAGTATACTATATAGATGATTATTTTTCTTAGGATTGCTTTTTCAGTTCCTGTACAAGGGGTATATGGAAATCAGTGGGGGAAAAAAATTTGAGTTACAGAAAACTTTTCAGGAACATGACCTTCTGTAACTCAAGGAATGACAGTGCAGTGTAGTACTGTATTTATTTATGCATATCAAGTTTGGAGGCTTATATAAGTTTTATTGGCAACCTTTGACAAGCTCTGTATTTGGATCTGTGTTTAATTTAATTTACCATTTCACCACTTATCAGCTTATTATATATATATATATATATATATATATATATATATATATATATATATATATATATATATATATATATATATATATATGTATATATATATATATATATATATATATATATATATATATATATATATATATATATATATACATATATAGTATTATTGTTGTTATATATATATATATATATATATATATATATATATATATATATATATATATATATATATATATGGGCAGTGGCAACTTAGTACCTCTGGACCCCAGTTAGTAAGCGATATGAACACATTAGAACCAGAGGCTCAGAGCCCAACCATAAACAGAAGCAGTCACCAGTTATACTGGACAGCGGCAACTTGGCCCCCTTATAATCAGCCTTGTAAAAAAGCTTATTTATCACCATGTTCATCAGTGTCTAATAGTTCACATCCATGTATTTATTGAACAATCACTTTCTTTCCCATTTACTCTTACTGTTGCCTTTCTGTTTTCATAGAATGCTTTTACTGCAAATAATAGCCTTCCTCTCACCCCATACATTTGTAATACCTCCCACAGCACTTTTCTGCTCATCCTATCATTGTCATTTTCCAAATCTACTGTAATTTTTTATTTTTTTAGATAATGTCTTAAGCCATTTGGTTTAAACCATTGGTTTAAATTGGTCAAACACGACCTTGAGAAAACTGCAATGTTTGCTTGACTGTTAATTTTTTTGTTTTGACTGACTTCATGAATGTGTAATATTAGTTGTATTTTATTTTTAACAGGTCAGAACGTCAGTGTATTTAGGTTGGCAGTACGTGCCCTCATCTCTGCGATAGGTGAGCATCGCTGGGATGATGCGTTTAAGCTATTACCTTGTGTCGTCTTTCGAATGGCAAGAGATGTGCCTTTTGATTTTTTTTGGAGGGTATGTACCACTGTGTTTCTGTAAATTGATGATTTATATAGAATCTAAGATGTAGCGACATGTTTATATTCACAGGGTCCTTTACATGTCTTGAAATTTATTGACATTTAATGGAAAATATTATTACTTTACCCACAGTAATTAGTTTTTTATCTTAGTTATGGCTATTATAACTCAAGCCTAGAGTAATGTATGAGGAAATACTAATGTCTTCATGAAATTAAAGCAAGTGTGTGTGTGCATGTGCATTCATATTACATATTGACTTACCACGATGTTTGACAGATTACAGATGTAGTAACCCGAAATGCTACTGGGGTTTCTGTGTGTCTAAGAAAGCAGTTACTAAGAGATTTGTGCCTTATGAAAGTGAGAGCACATGAAGTGGTGCTTGATTCTTTATCCCAGGACCTTCAAACAGCAAATGATTCTGACATTGATGATTTAATAGAGGTAAGTGTAGAATTCTGAACTGATATACTGTAGTTAGATTTAACCCATTACTCCAATACTCGTATACTGCATGAAGCTCTGCCATTGCATGGAGGGTTTAGACCGGGTAACTCCAAACTAAAGTACCCAGGTTTAATCTGAAAATGAACTGCCTCGAGGCTGGAAGCCTGTTTAGCTTTGTGCTGTACAGGTCACTATTTACTTTATTTACCGAAGTGCGACGGTTGAGTGGATACAGCGATTGCGTTTTGTTCCATGGCTCTGTAGTTCCATTCCAAGCAGTACTGGCCATGCTACCTCCTTGTGTACCAAAGACTTACTATACTGTACGGTGTTCTATATCCATACTCTTCCTAATGAGCAGTCATTCCTATGGGACCCACTTTCACACTTTACCTAATGGCCACCCACTATTTTTGATTCCACAGCTTGCAGTAGACTATTCCATTGGTCTACCACCCTCTGTGTGAAGCAGAGTTGTAAAAAAGTGCTGAGCTTTGTTACTTAAGTAATTGTATTGTTACAATGGCAAAATGTTACTCAAGTAACATTTTGCAATGTAACTAAGCCTCTCTCAGTCCCTGTTAATTCAGTTGCCTCTGAAGATCTCTTGAATAAAGCCAAAGGCTAAGGTGCTCCAGTGTAGTTAGTTGATCGAGAGGTAGCAATGAACTACACACGTGGTGGCAGCAGGACACAGACCGAGCGGATGTAAACAAACCCGACGCATCAAGCGACGTGTGGCACGTTTGGTGTAGAATTTAATGAAATCACGCTCGAATTAGGGAAATAGTTTGGTAAATTGAGTGAAAATAACGGAAATTTCTATTTCGCGGAAAGGGATGGCTCAAATTAGTTCGTCAAGTGGAGAAAATACTGTAGTTATATCGTCTTAAGTTGGTAGTGCATGATAACTTAAAGAAATGGCCCAGGTTCACATATTCCATCCAGGATTTTGAATTCTTCAGTGTAACCTTTACCTTAATTGTCACAGTCAAAGCAGTCTTGCAATATCACATTTTCATTCCTACAGTCCATCTTGCCAAGGCAACAATGTTTCTGTGTTTCCTCTTCTGTTGAAAGGAGCTAACTGCCAGCTATACAAACTTATTATTTAGGCACTGTGTTGTAGGGCTGGTCCCAGGAAGTACAGTACAGTGTAGTACAGTACAGTTTAGTGCAGTGCAGTGCAGTACAGTACTTAATATTGCATGTTGAGAAGGAGTTTTTGTCCATTTCCATACTGTATTTGTAAGCTAACCTAACTGGGGTAACAATTGGAGCAAGCTATTTTCCTCGGTAGCAGAATACGCTCTGTTTTGCATATTTTATCTCCATTAAACAGTTTTTATGATTTCAGAAGGGTCATTCCATATTTTAAAAGGGTAATCTTTGATGTGGTCTGATAAAAAAAGGTTGAACATTCATCTTTAGTGTCTCAGATGCTTTCTATTCAGCACTCCTATTTCCTAGAAACTACAAATCATCTTTTCAGAATACGTACAGTGATCCCTCGGTTAACGAACGCCTCGGTTAACAAAATTTTGGTTAACAAATTACCTTCCAGAAGAATCTTCAATTCGGTTAACGAACAAAAATTCGATTAACGGAATTCTTACAAAAACATTTCAACATGTTTGGGCTTGCTCTTCGGCTGGTAGATTAGTCCACCAATACAATAATCGGTTCTAGGGCTTACATTCGTATCCGTTGGAGTAAATATCATGAAGGTTGAATTAAATATTTTTCCAAGTTTTATATTAAAATTATTAGTCGTTTTAACACTTATTTAACATAATGCAGTACAGGGAACTAGTTTTTGGTGTGCCCATCAGGCACTTCACTCACCCACCAAGGCATCAGTTTGTGTCCCTGTTCAGTGGAGGAAACATCTTGCTTGTGGGTTTCGAACACAGAGTATTTTTGCTTTTTTACAGTACAATTATTGGTCATTCTGAAATTTATTTAACATATTGACAATATATAGTGCAGTGCAGTGAAGTGTTGATTTAAAGAAAATAATCTTGAATTACACCTACTGGGTAGTGAACTTAAAATTTTATTGGTGAAATGACGGCATCAAGCATGGGGTGATTTCTCCTCCATCCCCACTTCCTTCTCTTCTCCCTTCTCCACCCCCACTTCTAATTCCCATCATCATCATCAACCAGGAGCCTTCTACATACACACCTCAAAGTAAGTGGACATTAATGCATTTTGTTTTTACTTTGTATGTACTATTCGGTGAGCTGGAACCAATTACCCAATATCCCATTGAAACAATGGAATCGGTTAACGAATGACCTTCTGGAACGAATTGTGCTCGTTAACCGAGGGACCACTGTATTATAATCGGCATATGTATTGAAACTGCACATTTACTGTGTCTGACAAAACCTGGTCTTCTGATGGCACTTGTAAAGAGCTCTTATATTGACCTGGTGCTGCCCGTAATGAGCTTCAAATATCTTCTTAATCTCCCATTGTTAATAGTTTCATACCAAAATCACACAACCTGGAGCAATGCAAATGCAACAAATATTCATGTTTTAATTAGAAATAATCTAGTTCATTTAGCTATACCCTGATTAGCTTCCAATTTCCAAGGTAGTGGCTCTTTATTTGTTCTTTTGCAATGATATGGGATATACGGTACCTTCTTATTGCCGATGATATACAGGGTGACCTGTCTTTGGTAGTCATGTCTTTAGTAAACACTATAGGTCACAAATTGTAACTCCTATTTACTTCGTGCATTCAACTCTTGTTCTCACTCACAGTTCATTTAACAATACTGCGATAAAAAATATGTTTACGAAATTACCATGGTGCACAAACTCATAATTTATCAGGTTTTTAATTTTATAAGTATGTACAGTATATCACCCTCTCATATACTGTACACAATTTATATGATTGAGAGTGACGTACTGTATGTGTTGCAGATGCTACAAGACTTCAGGAAACAAGATTACCTAATACATGGAGATAAAAAACGCCTAAAAACTATCTCAGAAGGTTATAATGGCCAGATTCTCTATAATCGTTGGAAGAATGGCCAATGTCAAAATGAACTTCAACTTTCTGAATTACAGGATGGTACAGAGTCCAACTCACACACTTCTGACACAGGTTAGTTGTTCATGCATCAGTATTTTGGGGAGATAACAAAATATATATATATATATATATATGTATATATATATATATATATATATATATATATATAGTATATATATCTTGATGAAATCACACGGGAAAAAGGAAACAACGGAGCACCTTAGCTTTCGTCTTTATTCAAGACATCTTCAGAGGCAACTGGATTACATGGACAGAGAGAGGCTTAAATATACAGGGTGACCTTATAAAACATGAGGTCAGGTCATAATGATGTCATCCACTAATCCCCACACCAACACACACGTAGAGGAGCTTAAGAGAAGGGGGTGACGTGACTAGTCAGGTCAGGTCAAAAATAAGGGACCCACTAAATAACTATCATACATCTAGATCAAAGGTTTTCAAAGCATTTTTAACCTTGGGCCACTGACAAATAAATTTATGTAACATATTATCAGTTTTGAACTGACCATCACTAAGGTTTATTGATTTTAATTCCTTAATCAAACTAGCTTCAACCAGAAGTCTTTCTGTGACACAAGATGATTTAAATACTTCTAAGCTTTTTTCCCAAGCAATGGGATGATTATTATTCCTAACATGAACGAACAGGGCACTGCTTTCAGATGCTGTTTTGATATTGTACTTATGTTGTTTGATTCTGAGCTGCAGTGTTTTTCCTGTCTGTCCTACATAATTACAATTACATTTGCTACATGGAATACAATAAACACTTCCATTTACATTCAAACTTGGGCTATTTCTTATTAACATATTGGTAATGGTTGAGTCATACTTGAAAACAACATTAATATTTAGTAGCTTGAAGGACCGAACTAACGGGACAAATTCATTACGATAGGGCAGAGTCAAAATATTCTTAAGTGTAGGAATTTGCCTGGTTTGAGAGGAATGAAAGGATTTTTTAGCCCTTTTAAAACAACGATCAACAAACACAGAAGGGTACCCGAGTTTTTGTGCAATGGAACGAATGTGTTTCAATTCATCGTCAATAAATTCAGTCACAAATACGCAGACATCTTAAGAACATAGCAGAAAAAACTGACATTTTGGTAGACTCCAGGTGATTCGATAAAAAGTGTATGAAACTGTCTACCTGTGTGGGCTTTCTGTATACCTTAAATTTGTAGTTTTGGCCATTTCTCATGATAAGCATATCAAGGAATGGAAGGAATCCATTTATTTCTCTTTCAATTTTGAATGTGATACTTGGGACAATATCATTAAGCTGTTTGGAATTTTTAGACAAGCTTAATGATATTGTCTCAAGTATCACATTCAAAATTGAAAGAGAAATAAATGGATCCTTCCATTCCTTGATATGCTTATCATAAGAAATGGCCAAAACTACAAATTTAAGGTATACAGAAAGCCCACACAGGTAGACAGTTTCATACACTTTTTATCGAATCACCTGGAGTCTACCAAAATGTCAGTTTTTTCTGCTATGTTCTTAAGATGTCTGTGTATTTGTGACTGAATTTATTGACGATGAATTGAAACACATTCGTTCCATTGCACAAAAACTCGGGTACCCTTCTGTGTTTGTTGATCGTTGTTTTAAAAGGGCTAAAAAATCCTTTCATTCCTCTCAAACCAGGCAAATTCCTACACTTAAGAATATTTTGACTCTGCCCTATCGTAATGAATTTGTCCCGTTAGTTCGGTCCTTCAAGCTACTAAATATTAATGTTGTTTTCAAGTATGACTCAACCATTACCAATATGTTAATAAGAAATAGCCCAAGTTTGAATGTAAATGGAAGTGTTTATTGTATTCCATGTAGTAAATGTAATTGTAATTATGTAGGTCAGACAGGAAAACACTGCAGCTCAGAATCAAACAACATAAGTATAATATCAGAACAGCATCTGAAAGCAGTGCCTTGTTCGTTCATGTTAGGAATAATAATCATCCCATTGCTTGGGAAAAAAGCTTAGAAGTATTTAAATCATCTTGTGTCACAGAAAGACTTCTGGTTGAAGCTAGTTTGATTAAGGAATTAAAATCAATGAACCTAAGTGATGGTCAGTTCAAAACTGATATGTTACATAAATTTATTTGTCAGTGGCCCAAGGTTAAAAGTGCTTTGAAAACCTTTGATCTAGATGTATGATAGTTATTTAGTGGGTCCCTTATTTTTGACCTGACCTGACTAGTCACGTCACCCCCTTCTCTTAAGCTCGTCTACGTGTGTGTTGGTGTGGGGATTAGTGGATGACATCATTATGACCTGACCTCATGTTTAATAAGGTCACCCTGTATATTTAAGCCTCTCTCTGTCCATGTAATCCAGTTGCCTCTGAAGATGTTCCTGGAATAAGTAATGCTATGTGCTCCTCTTTCTCGCAGATTTTATCAAGATTATCTGTCCACGCTTTCATTGTGATCTACAATGAAATATATATATATATATATATATATATATATATATATATATATATATATATATATATATATATATATATATATATATATATATATATATATATATATATATATATATATATATATATATATATATAGTATATATATATATATATATATATATATATATATATATATATATATATATATATATATATATATATATATATATATATATATATATATTATAACATATATATACATATACATAAACATATATATAATATATATATATATATATATATATATATATATATATATATATATATATATATATATATATATATATATATATATATATTAGAACCTCGATAAATTGGACTAATTGGGGCAGACCCCAGTCCAGATAATGCGAAAGTCCGGAAAAAAAGAATCTTTGGGGCTTTTGACGTAACCCAGCTTTCTAGACTGTTTGTGGAAAATCAGACTGAGTCTAGTTGTTGATAACTGTTTTCACGGATATGAATGCTTCGTACTGTAAGGTGTTTACCCATAATATAATTAGTAGAAGTGCTTCTCCATGTGTACTGGGTAGGAGTGTGTCACCAACCAGGGCTGCCCAATCATACTCACCCGTGGTGAGTAAAAAATCATTACATTGAATCAGATTAAGAAAATCATGGGTCTGTCAGGCGAGTGATAATTTTGAGTCCTGTGAAAGTGAAGGAGGCCTCAAGTAGATGCTGCAATTTTGAAAGGTTTTATATTGAACAGTTCTTCAATGTGCATGAGAATGCATGAATATCGATTAATACTCCACAGCTGACTCACCGAGGCACCAGCAACATGGGGAATGATGGTGAATGGACATGTGGTAATTAATATTGTACACTATGAATAAATGTAGATTATTACATAAAAAAAAATGTCAGCCTAGGCTTTTAAATTGAACACACATTCAACCTCAGCAAAATGGTAAGATTTTAGGTAAAATAATTCAAGAGAGAAATAGATTGCAGTCATAAGACTGAGTGATTATAAACATTAATTTAGTATCTGTTTGGTTAGTCCTTAAATCTGACTTGCCGGAAACTAACTATGATCGAGTACAAGTCACAAGGGACTAAATAATCACAAATGAATAAATGATTAACTTCATTCATAAACATACTGCGAAACAAATGTAGAGTTTTTATCAATCCTCAAAGTAATAAGCAACTCAATTCAACCTACTACAGTATTATCAATTTATCGGTGATTATAATTTCATACAAAACGCACTTTTTGGCTCTTGGCTGCGGCAAAGTCTTCAATAATGTCCTGAAAGTCCAACTTTTTAACATAATCTCTTTCTATGTTGAGTAACACCAGTGACTATAGGCGACTGGCCCATCGCAGATCTTAGACAGTTTTTAATTCTTTTAAGCTTGGAAAATGACCTCTCGCCTTCACTGCTGGTACCAAGTATTGACAAATATATTTAGCTCAAAAATGCTAAAATATGCATTTGCTTATGCACATATGCAAATCCATAATTATCCCCAGCCTAATAACAACGAGTATATTTGTAAGATTTAACATGGGAAAACCGCAATAAAACAGAATAACCTAAAATTATGGATAACTTACATCTCAGCGTCTCTGCCTGTGTCAACTAAACCATTAGTTGCCGTTATCCGTAGATGGCAGCAGGCGTGATTTGTGAAGGTCGTGAGGGTAAAATAAGGCACATTATGGTGCATCAGGAAATTTAGGGGCCTATGATAAACAAGTGCCCAGGGCCTACAAAACCCTTAATCCAGCTCTGATAATAATAGGTACAGTATATAACTCCTCATGAATTCACAATATTACATGAATTTGTTAGAGCTCAACCATTTAGAGAATTCACTTTGCACTTTATGCTATGCTTCCATTATAACATAATTAATTACAGTGGGAAAGGTTACATCACTGTTCATGGATGATAGAGGGGGTTTTTAATTGTAATTATCTTTTTTCTTTCTTTTTTCTATATTTTTGCAGACTGGCTAATTGTACATGAAATTTTTGGAAATCAGGAGTCAACTACTGGAAAGAAGAATCAAGTTCTAGCTAAACAAGCACATTTTGCAATGAAAAATTCTATATCAAACCTCAAAGAACCTGTAAGTATCTTTTTATATGTTTATCCACAAATATTCAAACATCTTATTTCTTAATTTTTTTTTAGCCTTTTTATGTTGACATATTTATTGAGTGATGCAATGAATATTGTAGAATATAAACAAGAATGCCCTAGTAAAAATAAAGTTATAAAAACATTCCTTTATGAAGGCTTTATATTTATGTGTATAAATTAAAAAATATTTACTCACCCTTTCCTAAATTGAATTTATGACCTAATGACCACCATTTGGGACTGATGTTATTTCAAGCAGTTGTGTTTGAGGGTTAAAACACAGTATAATAACTCATCAATAGTACAGTAGCTGGGGGCTAATTAAAAGATTTTCCAAGCCTTTCACCTGCAGGCATTTCCCTAAAAGTGGTCTTAACCAGAAGGTTGTTGGGTCATGCCAGAGAAACATGCATGGACTACCATGAAGGTGGTGCAGTTTCCTGCAGTAGCTTGTCCTTGTTACAAAATGTCAACTTCAGCAACATACCTTGATTTACCCCAGCTGTGATCACCCAGTGTAAATTTGTCTTAATCCACCTGTTCCATTAAGTGCTATGCAATATAAGTGCTCCAGTAATTATTTTTGCACTTTCTATATTCACAGTCAGGGCTACACACTCATTGCATTTTCCTTAAAATATAACATTTATTCATAGTGGGAACCCATAATCTTTGACATTCATATTGCAAGAATTAGTTTTTGATGTATTTCATATTGAATCATACTGACAGGTCATTTATTATGAGGCCAACCAACTCATCTGGTGTCACAGGGTAGTCCAAGGTCACCATGTAACTCATCAGGTGTCACAGGGTAACCCAAGGTCACCATGTAACTCATCAGGTGTCACAGGGTAACCCAAGGTCACCATGTAACTCATCAGGTGTCACAGGGTAACCCAAGGTCACCATGTAACTCATCAGGTGTCACAGGGTAACCCAAGGTCACCATGTAACTCATCAGGTGTCACAGGGTAGGGTCACCATGTAACTCATCAGGTGTCACAGGGTAACCCAAGGTCACCATGTAACTCATCAGGTGTCACAGGGTAACCCAAGGTCACCATGTAACTCATCAGGTGTCACAGGGTAACCCAAGGTCACCATGTAACTCATCAGGTGTCACAGGGTAACCCAAGGTCACCATGTAACTTGACCTTCCTTTGCTAATGAGGAAGGATCTTCTATTTATTCATGAACAGCTGGTCTTCAGAATGATGTGCAAGTTTACTGATTTAGTTTGACTGATTTTTCAGTGTTTGGGACTGGGCCTGCACACAGTGTAACCAGTGGGAGTTATGGGGTACAGTACTCTATCTGTTTTGGAATTGAAGAATCTTTCTGGGGTTCTGACAGCAGTGAAATTGTTTTGGGTTATGTGTTTAGAACATGTTAAATTCTGGGACTGTTTGGCCTACAGTAAAATACCCATAATCCATACTCTCCTAATTCGTAATCACTCATAATTTGTATTGTTTTGCTGTTACAAAATATATGTTGCAAATTTTGTTATAGCCCCTGTACAGTATTTGGTAAAATTTTGAAATGTGAGAAACATTTTGAAATGCAGTAAAACCTCGTTTAGGCAGACCCTGCTGAGGTGGATATCTCTTGAGCCTGACAAAACTATTTCCCCAAAAATAATTAAAAAAGAAAAAAGTAGGACAAAATTTGTCCTCAGACGACATACCTGCCATGAGCCAAAATTTCAAGTGATTAAGGCATCAGCACATGGGTCACAGGTGCCCAAGAATTATCAATTGTTGTTTGTAGGAATGTTATTTCATTCACTCTAGTAATGATAAAATGTTTCTTATTATGTTATTGTAGGTAAATGCATAAAATTTGTTTATTAATGTGCCCATCACCGTTTTCAAATTAGACTACACGATATGTATTTCTCCCATGCGTATTTCGATTGTACTCCTGGCAACGGGTGAGAGTCAAGGAGTGAGTGAGTCGAGTTACCGCTAGTTGAGCGTCGTCTGCAGTTGTAACTCTCTTTGCTCCATGCCATATTTCATTGGATTTACTGTTGTTATTAGTGTATACTGATATAATAATGCTTAATAGTCATTAATCATGCCATTGTAGCCAGGTTAGATTCGGTACTGTAACCACCTGGCTACTGGGCAAGCTGTTAGGCGCTATGGTTGTTTTTCAACTCGTATTTTTGGTTAGATTTACATATTGTGAAAAAAAGTAAAAGAAATAATTGTCCTAAGGGTAAACACCTAAAGGGAATACTCATTTCTTTGCAAATGAGTTAGCTGGCTCAGTGAGGGAGTGTATGCAAATAGCGACTATGTTAAACTTTCATTTGGCTTTCATTTACTGATTTGGCAATACAGTGACCCCTCCGTTAACGAACTCAATCCGTTCCAGAAGGTTGTTCGTTAACCGAAACCATTGTTTCAATGGGTTTTTGGGTAATTGGTTCCAGCTCACCAAAAATTTCCTAAATTCAACAAAAATGGTAGAAAAGTTCACTTACTTTGAGGTGTGTATGTAGAAGGCTCCTGGATGATGATGATGATGATGGGATTTAGAATGGGGGTGGAGGAGAAGGAAGAAGAGAAGGCATTGGGGTGGAAGAAGTCACCCCATGGCGCCATTTCACCCATAAAATTTTAGCTCTCTTGGTGTAATTCAAGATTATTTTCTTTAAATCAACACTGCACTGCATTATATATTGTCAATATGTAAAATATATTTCAAAATGACCAATAATTTGCTTGGAAACACAGAAAAAAGCGTTTAGTTGAAGAGAGTCTCAAGCAAGATGTTACCTCCAGTGAAAACAGAGAGAGACTAACTCCTGTTTGCTGTGTTAAGAGGCTGGATGCCGCACATTAAACTAGTCACTTTACCTTCAATTATGTTCAATAATTGTTAAAATGACAAAAAAATTGAATATTAAACTTTTAAAACTATTGAATAGTATAAACTTCTTGATATTTACTAAAATAGTAAGGAATTTAAGCCCTAGAACCGATTAATGTATTGGCGGACTGATACTAAAGCTGGTTGCCCGGTCAGTGCAAGCGAAAACATGTTGAGGTCGGTTCGTAAGAACTTCGTTAACTGAATTTTTTTTCGTGAACCGAATTGAAGATCCTTATGGAAGGCAGTTCGTTAATCGAAATTACGTCAACCGAGGTGTTCGTTAAACGAGGGGTCACTGTACTGTACAGTATATTTTGTTGTAACTTATTTATTGGTATTATTTTTATTTATTCCTCGCATTTCCTGATACTGTATACAGTAAAGCCTCGAATAACGACGGTAATGTGTCTCCCAATATTGCAGTGTAAGGTGAGTTATCGTGTCATGAATTATTAATTCCTATTAAAATAAAGCAATAATAATGAGATGCATTCCAAAGAGTGACATTTTCATATCTTTTGTGTGACTTTTTACCCTCTTTTCCCTCAAAACAATAAAATTAATGAAAAAAGCAACTATATTCTTTAGATAGTGTTTATGAATGCACTTTGTACAATATAAATCAATAATAATTTGGTCACACAAGAGGAGATGGGACGCCATTGTTGTTTTCAGTGTTTACATCTATAATGTCAGTTATCCCTTTGAAACTGAAGAAAATAAGACCCTGGTTGTTGTTGTAGTAAAATACAGCGCCTCCCCGACTTACGACGGGGTTAAGGACCCAATTCCAGGTCATAAGTCGAAAATGCTTAAATAATACAAAGAAAATCTAAAATGGGTGTCTCTTTTTCTTCTCAGCACCACAAAACTCACTTTTAAGCTTGCCAGCCATTTTAAAGTGAATTACAAAGAAAAATTTTGTCAGTACACGGCGCAATCACTGACGTTGGGACTCGAAAATACGTAATTTGACAAAATTTTGGTACAACTGAGGCGGTCGTATGTCCGGGTGGTCGTAAGTCGAGTAGGTCGTAAATCGGGAGGAGCTGTAAATGTAAAAACATATATTAATGTTTTAATTAATGTTATTTAATGTACAGTAGAAGTAACCACTGATGGTAAATAATAAAGTGAGAGACTGATAGCGGAATGCCAATGTATACATGCACACTCAAGGAAACAGCCTCATTTATCGTATTAAGAATATTTACGAAAGATCATTTTTTTACTGAGTATGTATTTGATTGAATTAATGTTTACATATGCAAATTGAACAATACAATTTGTAACCGCTCGTTGGAGCAATTGTGGCTGTGCAGGACAATAAGACCCTCTATATTGACGTGAAGAATATTATTCGGTCGAAACCTGTTGAATACATCTCACATGTAGCACCTGCTCATACATCAGGACACACAGTTTAAATAATATGATCAATGTACAGTACATAACTACAATTATTCAAGTCGTTTCGTGTTCTCAGAGGATGCAACAGTTCACAATCACACTCACGTGTTATAGGTCTAGGGGTAGACCAATGAGGACAAAGACGATGTCCTACAGGAAATATATTGGCTGACGAGAATCAAGATGTTACCTCTACAGGAGAAGGCGATAGTCTGTCCTGAGGCTGTGTCTCATGGGCAGCTGTGGACCTGTCGAGACAATATGTTTTTCATTTCAGCCACTTAGTCAGCTATCTTAGTTGTAAACAGCCTCTTCACTCCACCTCTCTACCTCCTTCTCTTACCCCCTCTCATCTTCACTTCTTCCTCTTTCCCTCTTATTCTTTCTATTCTGCCTGTATCTTAACTTATACATGTTGCTGGTATGCACAATTGTGCATAGCTGTAACACAATTCATTAATAATATGTAGAATATTAAAACATGCAAGAGGAGACGAGACGGCATTGCTTTCTTTAGTGTTTATATCTGCAACGATGGTTCTACGTAATAAACTGAAGAAAATATGGCCTTGTTTGTAGCTGTAGTAAAATGAATGTAAAAAAAATTAATATGTATGTTTTAGGTAATATTATTTAATGTTAATAAATGGAACAATAGAAGTAGCTAACCATTAGTGGTAAAGAAATAAATCAAGACGCATTGGGAACGCCTGTGTATGCAAGTGCGTATATGTGAAAACATATCGTCATTTCTCAACATAAGAATATGAATGCAACACCTATTACTGTTCATATATGTTTTAAATAATACTTACGAAAGTGAAACAAAAATTCTACTCACCAATGGTGGTAAAGTAAAAAACATAAGAACAACCAATGATGACGAAGTCTATCAGGTTCAACTCTGGCCGAAGATGTAGCTTTCCATAACGATGTCATAGCTGTTGCTGAAAATGTCACTGAACCTGAAGGTGTTGCTGAAGCTGCTACTGATGCTGAATTTGATGGTGTAGCTGAAGTTGATGGTTTAGGCCTTCGAATAATAAAGCTGTCGAAAGAACCTTGTACAGTTGCTTTTTTTCTCATTATACATCTTTATGTTGAGGTCATTTGCATTTATTTTAATTTTAATGGTTCATTCTGTTAATAGATCCACTTCAGAAAATATGTTCATTGCTTGCTCCATATAATATCCACAGACCTCTCACCCTTTTCATATCATTTTAACACATCTAGTTTCTCGACTAAGCTTATACACTTTCTTTTAGCTTTTGAACCAGTACTACCATCACTTGCTCTCATGCTCATGTTGAGTAGGGACGCAAAAGTGCCGTAAGAACCCGAGAAAGTTTTTCTCCTTTTCCTGTTCAGATGTGTGAAAACAAAAGGCCCATCAGCTGCGGCTGTTTATACTAGTGATGCTTGAGTCACTACTCACAAGCCCGGCAGCCTCCGTGCGCAAAACGTGTTTTTGTTTTTTGGTTTGTATAATACATATCGAGATTTAGTTATTATTTACATGAAAATGTCATAATATTTTTTTTTACTCTATTTTTTTCGTAAATACAAAGAAAATAATGGTGTAAATTGAATTGGGTCCTAAAATAACCAGAGTCTCCAATATGAATCATCGTTAGTAGAACCTTCGTTATTGGAGGCTTTCCTGTACAGTAGGGTCGGAACATATTGGGAGGTAGGGTCCAAGGATTTTCGCTATATACTAAATCGCGATATATAATTACATGTAATCAATGGGAAAAATAGAGTTGGGTTCTGGAGGCCAAAAAAAATTACTAAACTTGACTTAATGAGTTTATTTTCTTACTAACTAAATCACCAATGAACACTAGACTTGGGAACACTGACTCTTTCAATATCAAGGAACACCAGACTCGGCAGCTATGCACCATCCCAGGTACACCAGACTCACCAGCTGACGCCACACTACCACCCTCGCTTGACAATCCCACACCTACATAAATGAACAAAGCAAAAATATTAGTTACAGTATTAAATTTTTTCCATTAAGCGTTCCATTCTCTTCACTTCACTTTTCACGTCACTGGCAATCCATTTTCACTCACCTTAGAAGTTGGAATCTGCAGCAGAGTCGGCTGCTGACTTGTCACTCACTCAGAAAGACTGTGCCGGCGAGCATGAATGCGTGAATGAGCAGCCACAGTGGTGCCTCAGGTGAGCAAATAACACATTTGTTTGCCATGTCGGTAAATTTGAAATATTTCCTGCCCGATTTCCCCCGCGGAATAAAAAGATTTATCGTTGTATATTGGAAAATGTCAATAATTTTGGGAGTCACGATATAAATTTTTTATATAAAAAATCGCTATATATTCCAACCCTACTGTACTTGTATTAGTAAAACAAAACAAAACAAATACTAGTACAGTACTGTATAAATAAAACTATAAAATAAAAATATAAAATATTCCAAAAGCCTAACATAGCACTAATTTATAGTGTGCTGTTGTGATTAACATCTTGACATTTAGGCAAGTGACTGGAAGAAATTGTACTTCCTTCACAATATACACACCTGTGGTGTAATGGTTGGCATCCTTGCCTCACAAGTGATTGGACCCGGATGCAATCTCTGGCAGGGTGGAACTATGGGCAAGTTTCTTTATGCCATTTTTTTCTTTTTACCAAACAGTAATTGTGGACCAGGATGTTAATTGATTTACAGATTGTATTAAAGGTTAGCCAGTGCAGTGTGTGAGTTTTCCAGTCTTAATGGATTATTCCTTGAGAGTGGGTCATACAGCTTGTTAAAATAGGGTTTGGTTGTTGTGCTGGTGATGGCATCTACAATCTATACCTTAAACAAATTCCTACCTCTATGATCCAAAGGCCAGCTTTCCTCAAACACAAGGGGTAACCATTATTTTTGTTATTGCATTCATGGAATAATCCCCCAAAAATTTGCTTTTAGCAGCTATACTTTCTTCTAGGGACCACTTTTAGTGAGTTGTTTGTACATGTAAGGTTCGGCTAATCTTTAAATTAGTCCCTATTCACTTCTGTTGAAGGTTAGTCTATGTTCTCACACCAAAAAGAGGTGATTGAATAGCACAGGTTCCTCACTTTGGTCTTAGTTATAAAATGGGATTTCAGGATCAATCATTTGTTTCCTAATGCAAGTTTTATTGTACAGTGTGAGTGGTTAATGGAATGCTACCTACATCTGGAGAATGAGCTGTATGGTACCGAGACAGCTGTCAACATGCTTGAAGTATATAAAAAGAAGAACCCGGATCATTTACCTGCTCACCGCTTATCATATTACTATTTTAAGAATTATGTCCCAGATAGTGAGGAAAATCAGCTAAAGGAACTGAAGGTAAATCTATTTATTTATCTTTGTCCTTTGCCACATTTGATGGGGAAATTGTAATATTTTTTGTTTATAAAGCATTAAGCAGAACATTATGTCAAAGGAATAAAGAAATAAACACACACACAAGCAAAAATTTTATGTAGATAGGACTGACTCCTATATGTTCTATTACAACACTGCTACCCTTTCTTTTGCTCTTGCTCTCTTTTCACGATTGAATATTACTTACAGGAAATTGCCAGAATGTGTCCAGATGATCCTCTTGTTCTGGAACTTGTTGATGTCATTCTTAAAAATAGTAAGTAATATTTCAAATTTTCACTCAAAATCATTGAAGACTCTTCTTGCTTAAGGTGTGTTTTTGGAAGCTTCTGAAATCCTATGCAGTTTATCATTTTAACATATTAACTGTTTGCCTATGGCAGTAGACTGTGCATATGCCATATATGAAGAAAAAAGGTTCAGTAAGATCTTGTATTTTGTGAGTAATATAGACTGAAAAAATTTTGCTAAAAATAACAATATACTGTACTGTAGACTGGCCACTCTATATCAACCTCTGATTTTCACATTTATAACCTTCAAATGATGCAAATTCTGCCTTTATTGACTTGCTTGTGCTTTCCGGAAACTAGTTACTTGAGGAATCAAGTATCTTAATCACACGCTGCTTATCCTGCATTGAGTACTTGGCAAACTTAACTCCCTTATGATAGTTCTGCTTCTCCTTTTCCTTATTTGGCTGCTTAGGTGAGTCTGTCCCACCAGCACCAGTAGGACCCCCAGTAGAGGTAGAGGCCAATATCTTGACTCGACAGGTGGTAGCACCACCCAAAAAAGCACACAATAGCAGCACGGGCGGTTGCTAGGATGGCACAGGCTACAACGTGATAGTTGCATTCTTGTAAACCTCTTTTACGTTCACCACCGGCAATTCAATCACCAAAACGCTTCTTGGAAACATTCCTCTTACATTGTCTTTCCATTTTCATCGCTTATACAACAAAATTGGAGAAAACAGTGAAAATCACGGAGCAATCGACAAACACCGCACAATTCAACTGATCACGTGATGTAAATAGAGAGCGCTGGTGTAAACCGTTATTAGTCCGCACTGTAAAACATTCTTTTTAGTTATTCTTTTCATACAGTATTTATGGGTAACAGCTAAATTTGCAAAAATAAAAAATTATTAAAATTTACAGCGTACCTCTCAAAAAACTCTTCACAAACAAAAGACATGAATCAATTGAACATGTGATGTCGAACGTGAACTGTAAACATTGCTTAACCCCGCGCCACGCTTAAGACGTTGAGGATGGAATTGTGTTATAGCCAACATTCGTATGCAAAAGTTCGCGTTTTACAAACAGCGTTCCCCTATTCATCAATCGCGTTACAAGCAATTCGCGTTGACAAAACACGGGTTGTAGCAGAAATGACTGTAACTGGTATGAGGGCTGTGACATCATTCAAGACGGTGACCAGCATTCAGCTTGCTGGATCTCGCTTTCAGCTGGCTGGATCTCGCGTTCGGCTGGCTGGTTCTTGCGAAATTCACGATATTTTATGCCAAATATAGACTTGGTTATATTAGGTAGGTATTGAGGGGACTCAAAATATTTACAGTGCTAATATTTATTTTTGTTTTACTTGGATTTAATTTTGAATGATTAGATTAGGGATTTGTGATGAAGAATATTTATATTATATTCAGGTTTTGTTGTGTAACTTTTAGATTACCTGTACAATATTTAAAAAACAGTAAGATTATGTTAATTCTCCTCTTTTTTTATTTAGATGACCAGATTGAATGTGAGTCACAAATCCAACAAAGAGGCAGAGACAGTTTCTTGGAAAAAGCTGATACAGTTGAAAATCATCATTGTTCACTAAATTCAAGTAAGTATTTTGTTTCACATTATTGGTTTTCTTAACAAAATTATACACTGCAGAAATAAAAAAAAAAAGAATCTCACACATTTCTATAAAATGTGTCACCTATATTAGAGAATAAAATCCATCAACATCAGGGCTACATCACGAGATTTTAAAAAGTTGCCTATACATGAGGCTGTTCAAAGTCATCCTGAATGCTAGGTATCAATATAGACAAAGTTTTACTGGATACAAATTACTTTCTGGAACCATTCCTGACTAGATACAAATGGTAAATCACCGATAACACAATTAATCATAAGAAATATAACAAAGAAAATAATTAACATAGTTATCCTGAAATTACATTTTATGGCTGAACATAGAACTAGATGGCTCAAATATAAAGCACACTGAGCTATTAGTGTAGAACCAAGAGACCTGACAATAGTACAAGGATTAATAAAAGAGATTTGATTATCATTCTGGTGTAACTGTCACCATGAAAACAACGAGTAGGACCAAAGGTTTTCCCTTATGTGGGTCGATGGAGTTTCAATTCTTTGTGATTACCAGTTGGTATTCAAATTGCCATCTCTATTCCCCTATCACATGCTTAAATGAATTCATTAATATCCATTCAACACTCATACATTTCATTCTTTTTGACAACAAATACATCCCAGTTCACAACCAGGATGTTGATTATAGGACCCTGCTGGTGGTGGAGAAAAATGAACCCAACCTAACTTCCCCCGTTTCTTTGACTTTCTTGGTGTTGTTTTAAGACATAGGTGGTCATTTGGCTAACTTTTTTAATTCTCTTAATTTATTTTAAAGTTTAATTACATTCATAAATGCTAAGAATACCGTAAGTTCCAGCCAGCAACTTTCACCACATATTTTTCGATATATACTCTTCGTTATCCAAGACTATTAGGGACCAGGGTCACGTGTATACTGTAGTACGAGTAAAGGTGAGGAATAAATAAAAATTATACTTATAAGATAAGAGAAAAAATAGCACATTGCCAGTTGGTAATACAGCTGTACTGTAGTTTCACTAATCAAGGGAGAGTGGGGCGGCTGAGATCTCCACCACCGCTCCCTCTTAGAACAGCAGCAGTGAGAGAATGATGCAGTCAACAGCGATCTTGACTTTGGAGATGACACCGACGCCATAGAGGGATTTCAAATACTCTAATCCAAGAGGCAGAAGAAGCTACAATGTGCAGAGAGGCAACTGACCAACAATTGTCCTCTTTTTCCTAAAAGAGCATGCCTAGACTTCCCTGATGCCATGGAAACCATTGACAAACATAAATAATAATAATAATAATAAACGGTTTATTAATAGTTGCAGCCGGTGGCTGAAAATATACAGACTTACATTTGATTTAGACATAATGATATAATATGCATTGAATACATTTACAGGGCTGTACAGTACATAAATCAGGAGTTGTTTATTATTTTAACAATAGATGGGATGGTGCTGTTCTTATATCTATCGGTGAGGGCTCTTATGGGCTGAATTTTGTTGTAGTGGCGGACTGCGCGAGTTGGGTGGGGGGGGGCTGCAGGTGGCAGGAGGTGGCGATGGCGAGGGTGGTGCAGTAGTCCACTGCCAAACCTTTCCAGTGCTTGGTGGTGGAGGTCACTGAGGGATGGCTACATGAGGCAGCAGCCAGACACTGGGAAGCTCAGTTTTCACTCAGAGTTTACACACAGGGATATTTTATGCTGAAGAATGATCCAGACATCCTAAGTGATTTTGTCAACAATGAACTAGTGGGAATAACTATTCAACGCCCACCATTGATATCAAACAGGACTACCATAATAATGAAAGGAATCGACCAGTTCCAAGACCCTGTAATGCTCGAACAAGTTGAGAACATTACAAGACGGCTCAGAGGCAAGTATGCAGTCATTGCTGATTGGATAGGATCTTAGGACCCACCCAGGACTCTCACTGTCACTGTCCTTGGTGCTTACCGTTATCTAAAAGTAGACATCTATCAGCCTCCATCCCGGAGATGTTACAAATGTCAGTGTTGGAGCCATGTGGCTCGTGTCTGCTCTTTTTAGAGACCGTGGTGTGGTTTCTGTGCATGACCACACACAACAAAGAACTGCAGTGAGAAGATTACTGCAGGTGAAACTGTACAAAAATGCTGCATCAATTGTAAGACTGATGGACTCCCTACATGGCACGACAACTACCCTCAAGCTCCTCCCACCCCCCTAGCAACCAAATTGCCACCTAGGCAAGTGTCAGGCAGTTCTACTGCTATAGAAGAGCCACCTAGGAACAACCCCTGGTTTACTGGCACCACCGCACATAACCGACCGGTACCAGCTGTTAGCAGCATACCCATATGGAGTGACACAGATGCAGAGCCACATCAGGAAGTTACCAACAGTCCCACTGAAGACACAAGCAATGTAGTGAACACCTGCCATGGAAAATGACAAACAACAGCTTAAAGATCAACTGGCCAAACAAAATAAAGTGATCAAAGACCTTTGCAACACAGTAAAGGGAGTGAGAACTGTGATTTTTCAGCAATGCAATAATTGTAGTAGAAAGGATTATCCGGAAATGACAGTGCCAAATGTGGAAACTCAAGATCCACCAGGAACTCGTGTCTAAGCAGAGGAAAACAGTGATACTGGTAACAGTTTTACTGATGCCTCTGTGGACATAGTCAGTGAAGATGAACAAAAACAAACAAAATGATGGTGATGTGGACTGTGACCAAAGTGTGAAAATGTCTCCCACTCAAATACAACAACTGGTGAGCAGTACATGCTCCAGAAGTGTTTAAAAAAGTTTTTTTTTTTATGGGGATTAGCCCACCCAGGCACAGGTCACTGATCCACATCGGGACCTAGTGGGCGAAAATGTAATAATAATAATAATAATAATAATAATAATAATAATAATAATAATAATAATAATAATAAAGAACCATAAAGAAATACAAATTGAAAAAAATCAAGTAAGAAACAATATATGTATGTTGTGTTGTCAATAGTAAGAGAAACAATTGAGACCCTGCAATTGTGTGTAAATTAGGCAGAAAGTCAGATTAGCAACCTGGGACTTGGTCACAATTTTTGTGATGCCATGTGGCAGCAGGGTCTACCATAGACAACACATTACGCTTCCAATATCTTCCTAGGCAGTAGTACCTTCCTGTTTGATAGCTGCCTAATACCTACTACTACCCACAAATAAAAGGCCTACTGCCTGCAGAAGGGACAAGCAGCATGGACAAGGAAAAAACAGTATCATATTGTGCCTTCAGCCTCTTTCCAAATAGCTGGATAGTACATAATGGCCAGTGTTAATACCAGACAAAGTTGTGACTGAGGACATGGATATTGTGTGTGTGTGCAGGAGTGTCTCACACCTAATGGTAAGCCCCCATCCAGTCTACCCAATTATGTGTACAGTGGTCCCTCGGTTAACGAGCACAATCCGTTCCAGCAGGTTGCTCGTTAACCGAAACCATTGTTTCAATGGGTTTTTGGGTAATTGGTTCCAGCTCACCGAAAATTGCCTAAATTCAGCAAAAAAGGTAGAAAAGTACACTTACTTTGAGGTGTGTATGTAGAAGGCTTCTGGATGATGATCATGATGGGAATTAGAATGGGGGTGGAGGAGAAGGGAGAAGAGAAGGCATTGGGGTGGAAGAGAAGTCACCCCATGGCACCATTTCACCCATAAAATTTTAGTTCTCTTGGTGTAATTCAAGATTATTTTCTTTAAATCAACACTGCACTGCATTATATATTGTCAATATGTAAAATAAATTTCAAAATGACCAATAATTTGCTTAGAAACACAGACAAAAAGCATTTAGTTGAAGAGAGTCTCAAGCAAGATGTTACCTCCACTGTTAACGAACGGTTCGATTAATGAAATTTCAGTTAACGAATTACCTCCCATAAGGATCTTCAACTCGGTTAACGAACAAAACTTCGATTAACAAAATCCTCACGACAAACACGTTTTGTTGTAAGCATCAGCTGATCAGCTGGTGGGCTAGTCTGCCAATTCAGTAATATGTTCTATGTTTACATTCGTTTCCAGTGGAGTAAATATCAAGAAATTTGTGCTCTTTAATATTTTTGCATTTTTTATATTAAAATTATTAGTCATTTTAAAATTTAGTTGACATATTGATAATATATACAGTATAGGGAACTAGTTTTTTGTGCTCCCATCAGCCACTTGACGCACCCACCAGGCATCAGTGTGGCTTTGTTTACAGTGGAGTGAACATCGATTTTGTTGGTGTCTTGAATATTTTTGCATTTTTACATTGAAATTATTGGTCATTCTGAAATTTAGTTAACATATTGATAATATATAGCGCAGTGCAGTGTTGATTTAAATAACATAATCTTGAATTACACCTAGTGAACTTAAAATTTTATTGGTGAAATTACTGCAGCAAGCATGGGTTCCCTGAAAGGTGATTTCTCCTCCATCCCCACTTCCTTCTCTTCTCCCTTCTCCTCCACCCCCACTTCTAATTCCCATCATCATCATCAACCAGGAACCTTCTACATACGCACCTCAAAGTAAGTGTACTTTACTGCATTTTTTTTTACTTTGTATGTACTTTTTTGTGAGCTGGAACCAATTACCCAATATCCCATTGAAATAATGGATTCGGTTAACGAACGACTCTGTGGAACGAATTATGTTCGTTAACCGAGGGACCACTGTACTATAATACAGGAACTGTAGTAATATGTCGGAGAAAAAGTGATAGTACTGTGCTGTAATATAATGTCATTGATATTAGCCAATACCTAACTATTGTATATGTAATATTCATCTGTGTTTCAGACTGTATTCTCTTGTGCAGGGTGTTTCTTTTCATTGCTTTGTGAAGTTTATTTTTTTATCACTAATAGTTAATTGATGGATCAGTTGTGTTTTTCTTTAACCCTTAAGCCCCGGGTTAGGGTGCCACTGGCGTGGGGGGTAAATCGAGAAAAATAAATACGTTTCCAAAAATAATTTTGGACCATTTTAAATGATAAAACGATAACAAATAAGTAAGAAAATCTATATATAGACCCTCTAGGAACTTCCCTGGCAGTGTTGAGGGAGGGATATAAGGGGACAGTGTTGTTTTGACAGCTGAGCTTGTGGTCACCTACACACTTACCAGCTATTTTTAACTTGCCTTTGTGTCTGAGATGGCCAATAATGCATATATTAACTGATCATAATACTTATTTGCAATAAATAATTCATTAGAATATTTTATTTGCATTATTGTTCATAAAAAAGTGCTCGGCAACACACGCAGTCGGCCGCCAGGCTGTCTTTGTGTTTGGTAGAGCAAGTAATGAATAAAATAATAATAATTCCACAAATAAATACATTTATAACATAATCGTAGCAGTTTTCAGTAATACTACACTACAATACAACTACACTACTTTTAGCAATAATACTTTGATACAACAGGATAAAACGAACAAACAATGGAAACGAACCAAACAAAAGTAGGTAATTACGTTCAGGCAGCTTCCCTGTGGCTGAGCGTGTGGTGTGACAGGCAAATAGTCACACTGGAACCTGATAACCCGCACTGGGCATTTAAACACTGGCAGGAAATGGCGCACGTCTTAGTACGTCACCCGGGGCGTAAGGGTTAAGTCAAGTTTAAGAAAGATAAAGTCATAGTGTACTGTACCCTATAAACATGAATCAAATTTCTTGCAGGTAAAACTGTAAGTGCCTTGGGGACGTGCCTCAACCTTGTGACTACCATGTTGGAATACAAAGAGTTTGCGTGGAAATTGCAGCCATGGCAAAGACTCTCATACATAATCCAAAGATTTTATATGGCATGGATAAGGTTTGTATTGTATTCAATATTTTTTATAGCCAAGGAAGATATTATCCATCATCTTACCTCTGACTTTTATCATTCTGTCAGTACTTCATGCAGTAGCACTTTAATCAGTCTCTTCTCTTTTTAGTGTTAAGCATGTATTGTTCTCATTGTTGTAACTGGTAGACCAAATGCCTTGCTGATGTCCACAGCTTATTTTCGTTTGTTACACTGCTTCAGCACATCCATTATTACTGCATGTCAAAATTAATAGTGTTCCTGGCTGTTTTTGATGCAGAGCCTACAAAATCACTCTTTGCACCTATCACAATAAATGCACAAGACAAAAAACTGGGTCTTAACACTTTTGGGTTTAGGGAAGTGCTCTCCAGCTACACACTTGGTCTGGACGGTCACCTCACCGCACTTGACTGCACCACATGAGAGATAATTGTACATAATGAGTCATAGCAAGCTTGCTATTTGAGATAAAAAGGTGGGGTTTGTTGCATTAGCATTATAAATAAATTATCTACAAACAGTTTTATATAAGAATTCGTGATAAAATAATTGTTTCTATACATAAACGCGAGTAGAATTTTTTTTTTTACGCTTAATGAAAATGTTTGTGCATCACTTTATACTTTTGTTATTTAATGTGATTGCAATATGAACCTTATTCCATTATAAAACATATACAGTACATGCCTAGCAAAAAATAGTTACAGAAGAAAAGGTGCAAAAAAAAAAAATTATTTCCTTAGGTAATAGAGGTTGTAATTTGTGCATTCTCATGAGTGCACCCAGGCTGATGAGTGGTGATGCCAGCATCGCTAACACAAATGGTCGTAACTTAGCGGGCATTTTGTTTTGATGTATCTCAACAGGAGAAAAACTTTCGTAGGTATCTTACGGCATTCTTGCGCCCCTATTCAACATGTGCAAGAGAGCAAGTGATGGTAGTGCTGGTTCAAAAGCTAAAAGAAAGTGTATAAGCTTAGTCGTGGAAACTAGATGTGTCAAAACAATATGAAAAGGGTGAGAGGTCTGTGGATATTTCACACTCTTCGGGGATGGCGGAATCGACAGTGAAAACCATCCGTAAGAATGGAGAAAAAATTAAAGAGCGTGCTCATTAAAGGTGCAAACTCTGAACTTTGTGATTCAGTCAGTGTCCTTTGAACCTAGACTATAAACTTTAAAGTATTCTATAAAATATAGTTTTAATGAAAAGTCACTGAATGAATGAGAACTATTAATTCACAGACACATTATAGTAGATGCCTTTGGTTTGAGTTATTTGCCCAGATGATGATTCTGGTGGATTGTATTTTTCCTTTAGTCACCAGAAGTAAGGGAACAGTTACAAAAACATTTAAATTTACAGATCTGGCTTTTTTGAGATTTTACTTTATTGGGAGGCTTTCAACCTATTCATTGGGGCTGGCCTGATTTGCAAGTGTAACCTTAGTGTGGCACTTTTGAATACATAGAAGTGAGACCAATTGGGTCAAGAGTTGCATGAGCCTAAATGTGGGGGGAAAGAATCAGCGGTAGGTCAAGAATGACATAAGGAGAGGTTATAAGAATTGACATAAGAGCTAGAAACCTTACAAGAGAGACTGCAGCACGAAGAGCTACCAATAGGAAACAGTGGCTAACCCACGCTATCTTGGAAAATAGCTGTAAAACAATAATGATGAGGTTCTGTATATGTCACATCCATAATCAACTACCAGAGGGCATAGGCAGACTTTGCCATACATAATACATCTGTAATAGAGGCTTAACACTCTTTCTTTAAGCTGAATATTTAAGGAAACTAATAATACAGGCAAATCCAAATTAGTACCACCCCATTTAGTGATGTTTCATTATAGTGCTCATTGTCCTGGAGAACAATCCTAGCTGTCCTTACAGTTGCTCAGTCAATAGGAGCGACGTTTGCATGTTTGTGGTAACACACACCGAGCCAATCAGCATTTGCTTTCTCCCATTTTGAATGCTACCCACTGATGTGTGTCTACTCCACCATGGTCTCTTAGTCGTCTTTTCATGTGTTCTATGAGTATTTTGTTTCCACAATATCTGGAAAAGGTGTCAGTGGCTTATGTGAAAAACTTGTTAAGGAAAGCATCAATTTTGGTATGAAAGGAAATGCTCTAAGACATTGAGGCTGGTGAGTGTCAGGAAAACTCATTCAAGGAAGGAAGAATTTGTTGAAGATGAGGAGCTGTTTAAGCTTGTGAGTGGAAGATCAGAATTAACACCATATTCCTCTGAGCCATTTTATTAGCTTGGAGAAGGTATGAGATTCACTGTACATATTGTGTTATTTGAACCCATTTTCTGTTGATACATTTATTGCTGGATTTGTTGGGATCACATCCTGAGCACTAAGTAGGGTATGCTCATACAGGTTGTACCTCTCTAGTCCGGCAACCTCGGGACCTGACCGGTGCCGGACCATGGAAATTCACCCTTTTCCTGGATAGATAGTGACTTGTGTTTATGCTTGGAAGCACTAGCACCACTTTCTCTGCATCATGGTCTCTTTGAAGACATATTGAAGGGTTAAATGTCATATAGTAGCTTCTCAAATTTTGCGAGTTTTTAATTCAACATATTTTATTGGAACACACACACAAAAAAAATAAATACAAATTTTGACTGTGGAAACTTGAATTTCGACGGGTTTGAACGGCTCGCCAACGTGCAGACGACGTACATAATCGTGTAAACAGCGTCATTTCTCTTATGTACAAAAGATTCATTATTGTTTATTACTGAATGTCTTTTTTATTGAATTAATGTTTATGTGTGCAAAATGAGCAATACAATTCATAAATAATACGTAGAATATTAAAACACACGAGGAAATGACACAGCATTGTTTTCGTTGATTACAAAACCAGTGACTGACTGGTTCTACATATAAAACTGAAGAAAATAAGACCTTGGTTGTAGCTGTAGTAAAATTAATATGGTTGTTTTAAGTAATGTTATTTAATGTTAATAAATGGAACAATAGAAGTAGCTAACGATAATGGTAAAGAAAAAAGAGAGATTGCGTATGTAAGTGCGCACACGTGAAAACATATCGTCATTACTTTACATAAGAATATGAAAGCAACACTTATTTACTGTTCATATATATTTTAATTAATGTTTCTGAATTTGTTTTTATTGAATTAATGTTTGTGTGTGCAAAATTAACAATACAATTTATTAATAATACGTGGAATATTAATACACACGATGAGACGAGACGGCTGCCGGCATTGTTTATGTTAAAGCTTACAAAACCAGTGACTGATTGGTTCTACATATAAAACTGAAGAAAATAAAACCCTGATTGTAGCTGTAGTAAAATTAATGTAAAAAAATTAATATGGTTGTTTGAAGTACCTGTAATGTTATTTAATGTTAATAAATGGAACAATATAAGTAGCTAACCATTAATGGTAAAAAAAAAGTGAGACTGCGTATGTAAGTGCGCACATGTGAAAACATATCGTCATTACTCTACATAAGAATATGAAAGCAACATTTATTTACTGCTCATATATATTGAAGGGTTAAATGTTGTACTCTGTATAGACAAGCAGAGAGAGAGAGAGCAGCCGAACTGCCGGATGTAAACAAACCTTAATTTCCCGGCTTTGGTTTTTTTGTTTTTTTTTATGGGGATTAGCCCACCCGGGCATAGGTCACTGACCCACATTGGGGCCTGAGGGGCAAAAATTTAATACTCCTGTAATAATAATTCAGATAAAAAAAAAAAAAAGCTGCCTATCTACCCATTGGACAAACTAAAATTGTTCCGGACCACAGAATGCTGGACTAGAGAGGTACAACCTGTACATAATATTCAGAGTTGTAAAAAGTACTGGACTTTGTTACTTAAGTAAAAGTATTGTTACATTGGCAAAATGTTACTCAAGTAGAAGTAAAAGTATCCAAATGTCAATGTACTCAAGTAGAAGTAAAAACGTATCTCATTCTTAAAATACTCAAGTACTGAAAATAAAAAGTAACAACAAAATTATTATTTGTCTCAAATATTAAAATAAATTCACAGTAAATTATAGAAACATAATTAACTAAAGATAGACATAAAAGACATATAGCATTTCACATGTTTCTTTGCTATTATTTCTATTAAGATTAATTAATAACTGATTCTCAAAATTATGGCCCAGCATGACCTATGAAAGAAAATACTTATACGTTCAGCCGCTCTTCTCCCTACATTCCATCGCAGGGATGGTGAATGGGCTGAAAATATATCCATCCAACATTATGATCTCTTTCTTCCTTATCCACACAAGTATCGTCGAAGTGGACTTATGGTCCGTAGACATAATGTTGTCTCTGCTCGCATTAGGTTAGGATAAAGACCCAATCTGGCAAGTATCTGAGGTGGGGGATGACCCTCACTTCTCTTTCTGTAAACTCTGTAACTGTCCCAATGCTAACACCCTTCAACACTACTGTATATTGCCTTGACTGTCCCGCTGTCAGGGACCTCCTACCACAGGGAGTAATTAACCACTATAGGTCACCAACTACTTATTCCTAATAATTTAGATTTAATTCTTGTATGCTACCCGCGCTTTGGTGGGTGCTAACTCCCATTGTCCTTAAATCATATCAATATTGTCTCCATATCACAAGTCATAGTGTGTCCTGTGAGACACGAGTACCAAAGTATTAGTGTCTAACCGCATGGTCTTGTGACTAGGGTTGTCACCCCCTGGGGTGTAATAAATTAATGAAATAATAAATAATAAGCCCAGCATGACTAAACAGATGCTCACAAGCAGCAGATGCAGGTAGTGGGATGTTAAGCTTCAGAGATAAGTCCCATAATGTCAGGAAACACCTCAGTAGCTCCATATCTTCCCTGGGCATTTCTAGTAGCTATAAAGCTCTTTCATTTGAGGAGTTTGTGGACGATTGTTGCCTCCATAGTGATTGAGTCTGACTAAGGCTCGCCGTGAACTGTCCCTCTAATTGGGGGTGTGGCTGTGGTGACGTCACTCTTTGATTCTTAATGAGTGGCTGAATTTTTTGCACCATATAACATCTGGCAGGTGCTGGGGGGTGGCAGTGGTACTTAGTTATTTAAGCAGAATTTTAGATACACTCAATTTCACACATATGTATACATACAGGCTTTATATCTAAGATGGAATTATGTAGAACATTTTAGAATCACAGCCTCTTTGAAATTCATTTTAGGTGCAGGTATATGCAAAGAGCAACTGACGTGTAACGGAAAGGTGGGGGAGAAGAAGGGGAATTCGATGGGTGAGGGAGGGATAAGAGGGTAGGCTAGGTGAGGTGGGTGGTCAAGGTGCTAATGGACACAAGATCAAAGGTGAAAGTCATGTTATGGCCACTGCCACCTGACCTGACCTCACCAGACCTCTAGGTATGTGACCGCATGGTGTCTCCCCACACCGTACCCTTCATGGTTCCACCCACACAACTCTTTTACTATGGTTAATAATTAATTAATTAATTAATTAAAATATATTATTAGTTTGCCATAGACATTAAAACTCTTTGTTGGTTTGTTTGGGTCATGTCACAAGTAATGATTTTTATTTTTCACTAGTATTGGAGTTAAGGTATTAGAAAATCATGCTTAAGTAAAAGTACAAAAAAATTTTTGTACTTTCTAAAAAGTAGATACCCAAAAATTTTACTTGAGTACAGTTCTCAAGTAAATTTATTTTGTTACTTTAAAGCTGATAATATTTAAGAAACCTAAAATAGAATACAGTACAGTATTTATGCACTTAACCCATTTGAAGTGTAACCAAGGTAACGTTCTCAAATATCACTCAATTCCTCCTATCCTTCTAACAGGTGCTGGAAATGCTCCATGTGCAAAAAGAGCCGTAAATTGGCATATAAGGTGGCAGAAAGAGTGACATCTCTATGGAGATACTGTGTGTGGATTCCAGTTTCTGGACTCCTTTCCTATGAGAAGGCTCAAGTAATTTTCCATCATGCTTATGCTGCTCATGTGTTTTGTTACAGTATGTATTTTTTCCAATTACAGTAAGTTTGGTATATGTATATAACTCTTGTGCTGTTTTTATCGCAGTGTTGTTTCATAACCATAAATTTGAGGTAGTACAGTACAGTTAATTCATAGTGAGTTACCTGTTTGAAATGTTTATGAATATTTTTGTTTCTGCATGGTTACTAGCAGTATCTCTTTGAACATCTCACATTGTTGTATTTCTTCAGTGATGCACTACCTGATCTTTAAAGTCATGATTTTTTCAGCTCACTTTATTAATATACTGTATACAGTACTGGTACACCACTGATTTTCCGGAACTGATGGTCCGGCACCTCATTTAGTCCGGACAAAATTATGAGGGGGCACTTGAAATTTTTTGCGACTGCCAGACTGTATCTCATATACTGGTGTATTTCATAAAAATCATTACATTCACATTTAATTTACAATTAATATTTGTTTAATTAATATTCCTGTTTCATTGATGCTAATAAACTTGTATCACTTACACTAATGAATTTCATTTAATCATTTAATTCACATTTAATTTACATTTAATATTTGTTTAATTTCAATTTCTAGCAGTTCTTGGTGCTTTAGAGACACAGGAGGTGTAAAATTAGTGGATCAGAGGTGTAGTGTTGAATTATTATTACCTGACCTCGGTTGGTCCAGCAAAATGGATAATCCTGCAAGGCTTTGGAACCAAGAGTGCCGGAAAATTGGCAGTGTAACTGTACTATTCTTGAAGTGACTGCTGTACTTTTCTCCAAATGGATAAATTTGTTTTAGTTTTATATGTTGTTTAATGCATTGCTTTATGATAGATTAGCTTTAATGAATTGAAGACTTTTATTCTCATCACTTTAATGTATTGATTTCTTTCCAGGTATAGGGTATATTCTGGAAACCATTAAAACCTTGCATAGAAGTGGTTACCATAGTTTAGCAGTTGAGTTGAAACATTCTTTATCTTACCCTGGACCTTTCTTAAAGAAGTTCAACGCATATTCTGGGATTAAGAGACAAAGGTAAGAACTAGGGTACTAGAGGATATTGACAAGTAAATAATATACTTTCCTTTTTTGGCTTTTACACTAAATGCATAATTTTTGTGGGGTGTTGCACAAAAATATCTTGTCAGACACAATGTGGGAACTAAAAATCTATTGGCTCTTCCCTGTTATTAGAAGCAACTTCTTGAACAATATATACACATATGAATGCATAGCTGCATACACTTCAATATGGACACAAGTAGTTTATCAAAATGTTCCTTTCAATAAATAAATCGACTGAATAATTAAACCTTGTGGTGGCTTAGCAATCTGCCTAGGAAGGTACAGTAATCCACTAGCTTCTGAATGGTAAATTCTTGGAAACAGTAGCTGCATAGGCAGTCCTGGGTAGAAAAGATCTGTATGTGTGTGTGACAGAAAAGAAGCTGTACAGACTCATATCTTAGTCCTACATGGTCTGGAGCTGAGATGATTCTGGGATCCTGTGTAATATCTGTTACCCATAGGATTATCTCTGCATGTGCTACTAATATGTAAACAACTCATCCAGGCTTGAGCACACAAACTAGGTCGCATGTACTTTCCAAGATGTTACTTGCAGAATTGCAGCTTTTAATTCTTTTTTGCAAACTTTGTCACTTGCAAGATGAAAGCCTGCATGTGTACAAGATTGAAAAAAAAATTCCCATTGCTCCTGCATCTCCTCATTTTTTAAGCTGCTCCTGTTTGATATCAGCAGCTCCTCCACATCACCAACATTCACTTCATCAATCCAGCTTGATTGGCTAGCCGGACAATGTCCCTGGTGATGTTTTCCTCCACATCAAAGCTTCTAAAATCATGACAGACACCTGACCCCAGATTCTGCCACACACTATTCATACAGTTTTTGGTCATTTCTTCCCATGCTCTGCTAATGTAATCAATACCGGGTAGCTATTTTGACATTGCAATTTTTCCAAACTTCGGCGATTGACTGTTTGTTGGGACCATCTCTTGCCCTAAGTGTATGCTGGTAGAAATATTTTTGTTACTCTGACTTATTTCCTATTGTATTCTTTATTGAATGTAAGACGTGTACGTGTGGAAACAGTTATAATAAGTTTTATATATGCTTTTTAATTTTTTTTTCTATTAACACTATTCTTTGAGCATAATGTATTCAAGTAGTGTATATACAGTATACCTATTTTTTAGACTTTTCCTTAATGTTTTCCAATATTTTTTTGTTTCCAGGCTTGCAGAACTGGGTATAGAAAAGAAAGGAACCATTCAACATTCAATAGAAAATTATATTGGGCTGCTTAGGAACCTCTCTTTTGAAGATGAAGACTGTGATTCAACTGAGGGTAAAGTAAAGTGTAACAATAATATAGGTAAAAACAATTTACAACCACAATATTCGGTGCCTTTAGTAACTGATTTGAAGGTTAATGGAAATGTATCTTTTGATGAGCAAGATATTCTGCTCACCAGTACCCAAGTTAGGAGGGAAATCCCAATGCCTTTAGAACCTTCTCGTGTAGCTTTAAACCCTGCCCTTAATTGTAGTTTTGCAGAATTTATGCAAAATCGTGTAGGACAAGCTCACTTCACTAATTCAGGGCAAATGGAGAGTGCTGTCAAGAATAACGACCCACCCATTGAACAAAGGGAAAAACCACAGGAGAAAGGAACTCAAATCAAAGTTAGGAGAGAAGAAATAGACTCCCAAAATATTAATGAAATGGGAGGTATTTATGTATTACAACACGAGGAAGGTAATGTGTATAAAAAGGAAAAAGTTTCAATTTCAAAAAGTAAAAAGAATGTTGAAGAAGAATTTTCCAAACAGCAGAGGTTGCCTCTGCATTATGCAGGTATTACTCAAAGACTCCATTTTGAACCACAGGACTGTGATGATATTAGTGTTGATGAAGATAGGTCAGAATTAATCAACAAAATTGAACCTATAGATGAAAATTACAGGGATGATAAAATATTTTCTAATTCAAAAAGAGAAAAATTGGGGCAAGATAAGACAAAAAGTGAACCAGAAAGTCTGATATCCCAATGTTTAACTTCTCCAGATCATGAACACCAGAACAGAGACCTAGATATGAATTTTGATGAAGATAGCACTTATGATCCTCTGACTCATTACACATGCAGCTATTCAGCCCAGTCTGAGACCCCCTGGAAAGAAAGTGTGTCATCAGATGATTATGAAACTGCCAACCAAGCTAGTAGAGATCTAGAAAGGGAATGTTCAGACATATCTGGCATTACTAGGTCGCCTCACACTCAGACTCGGGAAACACACACTGATATTACATCAAATAAGGCCACTAACTGTAATGATTGTGAAATGAATTTAATCCATGAGTGTCATCAAGCTAATAGTTGTGGTCAAAAGTATGATATAAGTGGGCATAAAGCAGAATGTTCTCAAGGGCAGGAAGGCAGCCTCTCTCCAGGTTGTGTTACAAGTGGTAGGGAAGACAATGTGTGTTCCCAGGACAGGAATATACCTCTATCAACAAATATGGATCCTGATGTTTGTTCACCTTCCATGAGTGAAACATTTTTAAGCTGTAACACATTTGTTGCTCAGTCAATTTCTCAACTGCATAATAAGTTTACATTTAATGGAACTTACATTGTTCCAGAAACCCAAAGTCAATCTATTAAAGAAGAGGCAAGCCAACAGCTGGACAAGACTCTACAATCACAAATGTCAATGATTTCTAGTCACTTTAAAAATCAGGTTAAAGATGAAGCCTATAGTGAAGACAATAGTGATGATAAAGATGAAAATAATTGCTCCTCAGATGTAACTGAAACAAGTGATCAGATGGAAAGTGGTTTTGCTACAACCCAATTTTCCTTAACTTCAGCTCAACAAGTGCCTCTGAATGACATGCAAAATACTCATAACTTTTGCTCTTCAGTGTATATTATAAATGATACAGATAATGATAAGATTTGTAAGATTGAGGGAGAAATATGTCCTCATGATGAGCCAATAGAGCCACAAATTCATAAACATCATAATATTGGGAATTTGGTTGACAGATCTCGTACAGAATCGGCTTCTAAATCTGTTGTTTTAGAACATAAGCCTAATAGTAATCAAAGCCATTTGTTAGTCACTACCAATAGAATGAAAAGGTTTGTTAATGATGATGATACATCTGAATTCAATTCAAAAGAATGTGCATTGGAAAATCTTTGTATACCTCCAGTAAGTAAAGGTGCTCAGAATGAATTTAGTGATGATGAAGAATTCATAGGAGTTACCCAAGAAGAGGTTGTCACTGCCACTCCCCAATCACATCTATTTTATCATAAAAAATCATGCAAAACTTTCTTATCTGAAAGTTTTGTGTCGGATAGTACGAGTGAGAATGAGACAGACAATGCACTTGATGATTTATATACCTCGCTCCCAGCAATGCAAGAATCCAAACTCAAGCACTCTGTATATTCACCTCGGACGTCTATGCCAGAAGGAATTCAGACGGTAACTCTTTCGTCTGTTCTGCCATATATGAAGGAGGACCTGGAGCTTTTGTCTCAACCATTTAATGGTGATTGTATTGACTGTAAAGAACATTCTCCTGAGGAGTTTGGAGTGGTAGACACATTTCTTCATCATCCAGAAGCTAAAAATGATTGTACAGCAATGGTCAAATTGGAGTTGGAACATATATCAAGCATAAAAAGTAACCGTAAGAAAAACGGTAATTGCGAGTCTCAGGGAATAAGAGCTAATAGTAAGACAGGAGTCAGTATTTTTCAGAATGAGGAAGAAACCAAAGAAGACAATAACATTATATATAAAACTACCTGTACACTTCTAGAAACCAAAGAAAGGAAGACACTTCTAGAAACCAAAGAAAGGAAGAAAAGGAAAAGAAAAGCCGAGTATAACCATTCAGTGCTTGAAAAGAAAAGAAAGATAGAGTCTAACCACGCAGTGCTTGAAAAGAAAAGAAAAGCAGATTCTAATAAATCAGTGCTTGAAAAGAAAAGAAAAGCAGATTCTAATAAATCAGTGCTTGAAAAGAAAAGAAAAGCAGATTCTAATAAATCAGTGCTTGAAAAGAAAAGAAAAGCAGATTCTAATAAATCAGTGCTTGAAAAGAAAAGAAAAGCAGATTCTAATAAATCAGTGCTTGAAAAGAAAAGCAAAGCAGATTCTAATATATCAGGGTTTGAAAAGAAGAGAAAACCCAAGCCTAACCACTCAGTGCTTGAAAAGAAAAGAAAGATCAAGTCAATCCACTCCGTGCTTGAAAAGAAAAGACAAGTAGATTCTAATAAATCAGTGCTTGAAAAGAAAAGAAAAGCAGATTCTAATCACCTCGTGCTTGAAAACAAAAGACAAGCAGATTCTAATAAATCAGTGCTTGAAAAGAAAAGAAAAGCAGATTCTAATCACCTAGTGCTTGAAAACAAAAGACAAGCAGATTCTAATCACCTAGTGCTTGAAAACAAAAGGCAAGCAGATTCTAATAAATCAGTGCTTGAAAAGAAAAGAAAAGCAGATTCTAATCACCTAGTGCTTGAAAACAAAAGACAAGCAGATTCTAATAAATCAGTGCTTGAAAAGAACAGAAAAGCAGATTCTAATCACCTAGTGCTTGAAAACAAAAGACAAGCAGATTCTAATCACCTAGTGCTTGAAAACAAAAGGCAAGCAGATTCTAATAAATCAGTGCTTGAAAAGAAAAGAAAAGCAGATTCTAATCACCTAGTGCTTGAAAACAAAAGACAAGCAGATTCTAATCACCTAGTGCTTGAAAACAAAAGACAAGCAGATTCTAATAAATCAGTGCTTGAAAAGAAAAGAAAAGCAGATTCTAATCACCTCGTGCTTGAAAACAAAAGACAAGCAGATTCTAATAAATCAGTGCTTGAAAAGAAAAGAAAAGCAGATTCTAATAAATCAGTGCTTGAAAAGAAAAGAAAAGCAGATTCTAATCACCTCGTGCTTGAAAACAAAAGACAAGCAGATTCTAATAAATCAGTGCTTGAAAAGAAAAGAAAAGCAGATTCTAATAAATCAGTGCTTGAAAAGAAAAGAAAAGCAGATTCTAATAAATCAGTGCTTGAAAAGAAAAGAAAAGCAGATTCTAATATATCAGGGTTTGAAAAGAAGAGAAAACCCAAGCCTAACCACTCAGTGCTTGAAAAGAAAAGACAAGCAGATTCTAATCACCTAGTGCTTGAAAAGAAAAGACAAGCAGATTCTAATCACCTAGTGCTTGAAAAGAAAAGACAAGCAGATTCTAATCACCTAGTGCTTGAAAACAAAAGACAAGCAGATTCTAATCACCTAGTGCTTGAAAACAAAAGGCTAGCAGATTCTAATAAATCAGTGCTTGAAAAGAAAAGAAAAGCAGATTCTAATCACCTAGTGCTTGAAAACAAAAGACAAGTGGATTCTAATCACCTAGTGCTTGAAAAGAAAAGACAAGCAGATTCTAATCAATCAGTGCTTGAAAAGAAAAGAAAAGCAGATTCTAATAAATCAGTGCTTGAAAAGAAGAGCAAAGCAGATTCTAATAAATCAGGGTTTGAAAAGAAGAGAAAACCCAAGCCTAACCACTCGGTGCTTGAAAAGAAAAGACAAGCAGATTCTAATCACCTAGTGCTTGAAAACAAAAGACAAGCAGATTCTAATCACCTAGTGCTTGAAAACAAAAGGCAAGCAGATTCTAATCACCTAGTGCTTGAAACGAAAAGAAAAGCAGATTCTAATAAATCAGTGCTTGAAAAGAAAACAACAACCAGGTCTAGTCATTTAATGCTTGAAGAATGGGATAATTTTATGGATGATCTCCCCATTCCAATATTTGATGGCACAGAAGAGAAAACTGGGAGAAATGATTTACCTGTTCATCCAGATGTAACTGAAAATTTTAAGGGAAAGAGTTATGATAACAGTAATATATATACAGTACCAAAAAATGCAACAAAAAAAGACCATCAGGTCTTACAAAAAGAGGAAGATATACTCTCTTTGTGTAAAGAATTACCTTTTCCTGACTTTCTTGATGATATTAATCCAAGTGAGAGTGATCCATGCAAGACAAAACAGAAAAGGAGAAAAGGTAAATTAGGTCAGTTGCCCAATGAGAATAACACACTACATCTAGGGAGTTTTGAAGTTGATGATGGCAGTTTTATATCACAGAAGAAACCTAAGAAACAAAAGCCTATAGAAGGTAAAGTACAAAAGAGACATGAAAGTGGACTATGCCTGTTAACAGAGGTTTCCTATGTGTTTGAAAGCAAACCCAAGAAGAGGAAAATATCTCGATCTGGTAGTAAAAATAATTTTGTTGGCCTGAATAATGAAGACTAATGCAGGAGACAATTGTAATATTCAGGAATTTGAGATTAAAGAGATACTCAAAACTGACCAAAGGTGTTTATCAGTCTTCAACTACAACAAAGAAAGCAAAAATAAAATAATTTCATTCATATATTGAAAGTGAATTATTATGGCCTGATGATCAAGAAAACATGGAAGAGCGTCTATTGTCTGGGAAACTGAAAAGTAAGGGCACTCTTAGAAAGAGGAAGCAGGTTAGCAAAGTGAATAATAAATAGTCTACTTTAGAACTTCCAGAAAAATCCTTTGCATCATCTAAAAAATTTTGTGAATCTGGAAACAAACTTTAGAGAAGTTAAACAAAATGTTGTCTTGTTGGATATAAATATTACCTAGGAAAAACTTGTACTCGGGAAGGTGATTTATTACCTGACAACAGAAAAAAATGTTTTGTGGACTCGACTATCACAAAAGAAAAGAAAGGAAATGTGTATACTGATATACAGTACGTATAATGAAAATAATGAGGAACAGAAGAAAAACAGTAAAATAATTGAAAGACTCAGCATATCAGCTGAAGTTGTTAGTGAAACAATTGAGAGGTCATACAAGAAAGAATTATGGACTGGCAATGATAACAAAGATGTTATATCAAATCGTAAAAGTAATCTGGACATGCCAAGTCACTAAATGATTTCTTGCATTCATAAGAACAAAAGAAGTGAAGAGTTGCAAAACAAAATTTAAGAGGAAATCAAATGAGTAATGGCAACCAACTTTTAAAGAAGAAATACCCAAAGAGTCACAAAATAAAGCAAAGAACAGGAGGAATACTGTTGTTGTAAACATAGAGTGAAAGGAGAAAGGCAATAGTATAACTGAGAGACTATGTACATTTGTTGGAGTGTTTCATACATCAGCTTTAAGAGGAGCGTCTGGCTGAAACACCAAATTCATTAATACAGTAGTTGATCAATCAACATAAATTTCCTGTCGGCAATTAAGGACACCAGATACATTGTTGCTATACCCCTGAATCAGTTTTGCTTAATCCCCGATACCTGATTTTCTCTTACGCTCTTTTCAATTTTCAAAATCCTACTTATTCATAACTTCTCACTAGATTATGTTCAAATTTATGTGGAGTATAGGTAATTTACTCTTCTTGAACATAACACATAGATATTTCTGGTTATCGCTTTCGTTGTGGATGCATGAATTTTTTTTCCTAAATTACCATTTTTTTCATCCAAATATTTATAAAGATAAATCAGTCAATAATAAACCAAGTTCAGTATAAAGAAAATCTATATGTTCCGCCATGCACAATATATTTTTCTACGACTTAGTTTTTGTTTTACATGGTGTATTAGAATCAGCCCATAAATGGCCAAGCCTTAGGAATTTGAAGGTTCGAAAAACTAGCTTTGAGATATGGGCCAATAAAGTATTTTTTCCTTTTGCCCCTACAGTGATATTTATTTTTTTGTAAGGCTTCCTAATCTCCCTTACCTAAGGTAGGGTACCACTTCAGATGTGCTGAGAGGGTATCAGAGATGCCCACACTCCTCATTGTTGCTAGGTTTTATCAGAAGGCTCCTGGCAGTAGGTATACAGTATTATCTTGTGACATATTTCACAATTTAGCTTGATGGTGGTATCAAACCCATCTGCTTCATACTGAATTGAACAGCTCTTGTCACTGCATTATATGTTGGGCCCGAAGACATAATATATACAATACTTGTCTGTGATACTGATGCATTCATTCTCATTGTCAATGTCTTAGACTGGAGGTAGTGGCAACAAAGATGTTCTTATACAGTATATTAAAATGAGTGGTTTTAGTTCTTGTATAAACAGATAGATTCTTTCAACTTATTTTGTGCTATAATGTCCGATACAATATACGGTAATGTGAAACTGTGTATTGTACACTCATACTTATTGGAGAATTTGTTTTTTTTTTATCTCTGTTTACTGTTTTTTGTACTTATTGGAGATGTGTACATTTATTATTTCAAGCAAAATACAGGACATACTATGCTGTTTGAACGATATAATTTTACATATACAATACTGTACTCTGCCGTGATATATATTTTTTTTAGTCATGCCAGTGTAATCCCTTTTTAATTTTGTTATAATTAAAATATTGTTTCAAGTTGTACTATGATAATGTTTGGACGAAATAAAATGTGTTATTTAAAGCCAAACAAGTTATTGGAAAATAACCATGATAAGAAAATCTATTATTGTATCTAAAACAATTTTATTACCAAACCAATAATGCTTCCATTTACCCTTTCACTTTCCCTACTTTCAAACAAACTACAGCTCCTCCCCGACTTACGACAGGGTTAGGGACCCAAATCCTGGTCGTCTGACTCACTTTCTTCTCAACTTATTTTTTAATTACTTTATGCTATCAAAAGTAGATTTTTAATCACGTTTAGTAAGGCAATTCATCCTCTGAATATGCAGAGCCCAACTCGACCAGCACATCATCCACATCACTGTCTAGTGGTGTGGCTGTTGACACATCTGATACGCGGGATGCACTGGATGACAGCCGTGTCTGCCCAGACGTAGATGGGCCAGCTACCTCAGGAGCTGAAGGAATGGAAAACATTCATTAAATTATTGAATTTCTACCACATAGGTAATAATTACATATTGTATACCCAAAATTTAATGTCTATTTTTCCAAGCAATAAACACTCAGTTTCATAACACACAGTCTCATAACAAACTCACCTGATGAGGATAATGGACGGAAGAATGAGATGATTTTCTTCTGTTGCTGGGCCATAATCAGTTGATCTAACAGCTGAGAGTACGTGGATGCAGCCTGATTCAACGCCTCCACCACTTGCATACTGCGTTCCATATCAGGGTCATGTTGCAGTGCAGACTGGGTGGCAGAAGTGACGTGCTGCATAAACTCCCCCAGCTTAGGAATTGTCAGTTCCTTCCCCACTGTTTGGGGCTTATCTGTCGCTTCCTCTTCTTCCTCGTGTTTCTTCGCCATCTCCAAGACTTCTTCAGAAGTGAGAGGATCCTCCATGCTAACAAGCAGTTCAGTCACATCCACTTCTTGGATTTCTTGAAATCCTGGATCACCTCTCACTTCCTTAACGAGCTTCATAATGTCTTTCACGTCCTTGCCTTCATCAAAGCCCTTGAAATCATGGACTACCTCAGGCCACAGATTATGCCACACTCCATTTAGTGCAGTTTCTGGCACACTTTTCCATGCAAGTGTGATGTTAGTTATCACATCTTTGATGGTGTAGCTCTTCCAAACCGTTGCTGCAGTCACATTGTTGTCCTTGTTCATAGCTTCAGCCATTTGCCTCTTGGTATTCTTGAGATAATATCTCTTGAACAAGGCAATAACGCCTTGATCTAGTGGCTGAATAAGTGAAGTCACGTTCGGAGGGAAGAAGGTCAAGTTTATGTCAATACTTGTGTTCACAATGCACAGGTGTTTGGAGTGGCTAGATGCGTTGTCCATGAGAACGAAGGCTTTGTTGCCAAGATTCAATTTTTTTAACATTTTTGATGAATGGGATAACATGGCTGATGTACACTCGCAACAAAAAGTATCGGTGCATACTGTAGTGACGATAGGTATTGGGAAAGGCGAGTTGTTCCAGCCGTATGTTGACAGCCCTGGTCAAGTGAAACAAACCGTTATAAATAAGGTCGGGAAGTGATAAATAAACAGTATGAAATATGAGGAGCTCCCTGTTAACAAAATAATTTGTGATACAGTCAGTTCTGCTATAACGCGATAGTTGTGTTCTTGTAAAACATCGTGTTATAGAAATTCGCGTAATAGAAATAACAGGGCTTATGGAGAAAAGAGGGTTAGGTGCAGATTACTACTCGAAATCGAAAACAATTTAGTAGTTAGCCTAACACAAAGGATAGCACAGTCTAAATAAATGTTACATTCATATCTAATAATGAAATCATACAGTAAATGTAACACTTTACCTTGAGAAAATATGAATATAACTTGATGGGGGAGAAGGGTAATTTTGAGGTTGATAACATCGAGCTTCTCTTCAAGGGTTATAGCCTTTCTTTTATGATCATCACCGGGAATGCTATCACAGAACGCTTCTTGGAGATATTCTTCTTTACCATATTCACAGTTAATACCACAAAATTGGAGAAATAGTAAGCAAAAATCGCGTTACAGCAAACAAGCATTTGCTTTATACAAATGTCGTTCCTCTATTAATAAATCGCGTTAGAGCCAATTCGCGTTGTCAAAACATGCGTTATAATAGAACTCACTGTACTTGAGAATATTGCCACATTAAGTTATGCTACCAAATAAACTACTCAACCTGGTCGTCCTGAGGGGTGGTGCAGCGTGGACGGACGCTCCGAGACCTGTCGTCTGTAGCACCAGTTTCGAGGTATCACTGAATCCATCGTGCAGCGGTGTTCCTGTGGACACCAACCTGCCGGCTAATATCTGTGACGCCGAACCCTTCGTTATGAGGGGCAATAATAGCTCCTCGTGTTCCCTCTGAGGTTTCCATGTCATCTGGCATGTGTAAATCTCTACTGCTTCATATTGCCTCTGATTTATACCCACGTTCACCGAGACCGAACCCTCGCTCATCATTCAGTCGACACAAAGCAACAATCCGAAAAGAGGAAACAAACACACTGATTGTCAGCCGTATGGCCTTCCTGACAAATCACAGTGTATACGTATCATTTCGGAAGTCGTCGATTTCACCCTGCACCGATACTTTTTGGTGCGAGTACCACTCATCAAAAATGTCAGAAGTCATCCACGCCATATGTACATCATACATAGCACTCTTCAGGTGGAGTTTACCCTTGGCAACAACTGGTGAAACATAGGCTGCTCTAATTTTCTTGTTGTTGAGCTTTATAGTGCGGACAGAACTCTCTGACAGTCCAAATTGACGTCCCACACTTGAAGCACCATTTCCACGCTGCAGTGCTTCCAGCACCTTGATTTTCTGCTCGAGTGTAATTGCTTGCCTTGATTTCTTGGCCTTTGGGGTAGTTAATGATGTAGTAGCTGGCCTCTTGGACATAATGGTGATGGTTGATACACGCAGTAGAAGAGATAGTGTCACACAGTAAGTCCGTTCACTAGAGCGTCAGCGCGAGAACTAAGGGTGTGGGAGGGTGGCGGGCAGCCGTGTAGCGTACCCAGAGACGTGTCTGGTGGGAAACCTCAGGCGCGAAATTTAAAATATGATGCGCCTTGATTGACTTGAGCAAAATAGGAAAGATTCACTTTAAATTAAAACATTGTCCTTAATTGTGGGTGTCGCTTTAAATCAATAATCTTAAGTTGACATTCTACTGTACATTGTAATTACGGAGTATTATTGTACATGGGAGGTAGTTTTAGGGGTTTTAATGGGAGCTGAGTTCTGTACAATGGTGATGTCTCCCTTAATTTCTTTTGCACCATTGAATAACATTCAATAAATACCCAATACAGTACAGTACGTCACTAAACAAAGAGCAAAATCCAAGGTTTAGAATTTTGGTTTACAAGGATATCTAGTCTAACCTAACCTAACCTGACCTAACCTAACCTTACCTGACCTACTCTAACCTAAGTTAACTTAACCCAATTATCTTGTAGACCGCACCCTATAGTAGCACCAGAATTTCTTACCTTGTCCATCTTGAACTCTTGGCATATGTGACTCAGCTCGTTCAAGAAGTT